TAATATCCAAGGGACTGAAAAACGTAATTATTTAGAATAGAGTGAAAAAACCCAGAACTCAGATGTTTACTAGATCAGTGCTCTGAAGACTATTTCCACTTCTTTCTTTTTCATGTTTCTGTGAAATTTTTGTTATTTTATTTTTCCAGCTAATTGGAGAGTGGGGATTACAGCACTGTGATGTTGTCTTTCCCACCCTATGGTCACCTGCCAAGTTCTGTAACTGTGTCTTCAGTGTGTCTCCATTTCATAAATGAAAGCTCCTTATGTCAGGAGCTTTGTGGATTTCTTTCCAGCCACTCTGCATTTCCAGACATTTGTGACAGCACTGGGTAAACTGCACTAATGGGCTCAGAGGAAAGTAGTCTGCTAGTTTTAAAATCTATTCTAAAATATTCCACTGTTGATGAGTGATTATTTATCTGTACCCAAAGAATGCAGGGAATTAAAAAAGACCTCCTGGCAATCTATTCTGTGTAGTATTTCACCTAGGTACATAGGAAGATGCTTGAGAATTGTTAATTTTCTTTGAGAGGTCTTGTCATATGTACCATGGCTTAAGGTCTGAAGTTGTGTTTTCAGTTCATGTATGTAAAGTTAAGCACATGCATAGTCCATGGAGCCTTTTAAACTGGGCACCAGTAGTGTCACAATAGCTTAGAAGGAAGGAAGAAGTTCACATTGAAAACAGCACATTGAATGATAGAGTGTTGTCTCTGTTTGGGAACATAGAGTATTTTAGTAGTAGGTGATTCTACCATTCTTAATGCTTAAATCTATTAGATTAAATCAATTTTAAATGTGCATATGCAATCTAGTATCTTTTTGTTAGGGTACACATTAGTAGTTTCATAGTTACTGGTATAATCCAAGTTAGGTTGAAGAATCTCATTGACTTCTTCGGAATAGATTCTCAAGTTGCACTGCTTTATTTTCAGTTTGAATTTTATTCTGCCTTCTCTTTTTTTTTTTTTTTTTTTGACCTGATTTAATTAACCTTTTTCTGGGATGCTTATTCTTTGGGAAAAAAAAAATCAAACCAAAACAAAAACCTGGGGTCTAATGGCATGCAATTCCTATTTAGAGATGAAAAATAATCTTTTCAGCTCCCCGCTGCATCAAGATGTGAACTGAAGGATCATGAAAGGCAGAGGAGGGAGGAATCTGGTGCAAATAACAGGAAATAAGAGGGATTTGTTAAAAAATACTTGTAGGTAATCTAGGCCAGAGGAATATTTTTCAGGGAATTCACTAACATATTATGATACACTTTGTGTAACAGCACAAAATACTCTTAATTTTTAATTTTCTGTAATGTGTTACAACTTGTTATCAAGGAAACAGGGCTCATTCCATTAACTGTGAAACCACTCTTCCCACTGTCCTGTGCTCTTTACTGAGGCACCTTTGCATCTTGCTCAGACTGTTCCCTTAGATGGACTCAGGCATCTGCTTTGGTCTCTGTCTGTGTGCAGCATTTCCCTCCCCAACAAGAATATCCTGCTTCTCCTGTCCCTGGAGGAAAAAAGATGCTTTTTGCTTTTCATTTTTTTTCTTTTTTATCCTGTCTCCTTGGACAGGATTGTGTGCAATGTATCTCTCCTCCTGGCACTCTCACACCCTTGCCGGGCAGCTGTAAAGATAACATCTCATCTTTTTTTTCCCTGTAGAGCACTTTTAGTCGAAGTGCTTGTTTATATAAAAATGTGCTAACCTGAGGAAGATGCATTCATTTCTTTTTCACAAATCTTTCTCCATTTCTAGATTAACCATTTTTGTTCAGCTACCCTTGCATCTGTGTGGTTGAGCAACAAACCTTCACCAATTTATGTGTGTCAGGATTTCAAGAGGGAAATGGTATATGCAGCAGGAACTGCAATCCTTTTCTCTCTGAGTGTGAATTCAGAGATTTCTGACAGCTAACTTGCTCCATAAGTCCCAGTTTGAAAATAGAATGCTCTCTTCTATATTATTAAAAGCAATCTCTTAGAAACAAGTCTTTCAGGTAGACTACTAGCGAGATATGCCTCTTCATTGCTGTAGCTGAACACGGGTTATGGGTTATGCTTATTTTATAAGTAAAAACTTGTCACAACTGTAAGACCTGACTCAGAATTTGATGTAATCATAACCTGACAATGCTGCTGCTCTTACTGTGCATGATGTGGGTGAGTCCTGCTCTAAGCCTTGCTACATCAGGTGGCAGAGGCTCCCCACAGAGCAGTGTGTGCTCCAAGTCTTTTCCTTCAGCTGTGCTCTAACCTAGGACTAGGGCTTGACAATAATAACAAATCAAGAGATGTTAGCCAAGAAAAGGTGCCTAGGGAGGACCTGGGTCAGAGAACGAAGTGACTCTGGAGTGATTTCTGCTGTATAGAATTCAAGAAGATAGTGAGAAGGATGTGTAGGAGCTTGTGCTGCCTCTGCCCTGCAGTGTTGTATCCCAGTGCTCTGTCAGAGTGGGTGCCTTTCCTTCCAGCTCTCTCTCCTCAGCAGCAGCCCTTCATCTACTGCTCTCAGAGGTGTCTTCCTCTGTCTTCCAAGTGACCATTCCTCCAGTTAGAGAACTGCTCATCTAAAGGGTAGTTTGAGGAACAGTTGCAGTTTACCTGGAAAAATTGCAGCTTCCTCAGAAGGCTGGTATTAGGTTTTCTTGCCTCAGAATTGGAACTCCTCATTACTGCGCTGCTGGGGACATAGAAAGCACGGAGGTGTAAACAGGGACAAGTCTACTGCTCCCATGGCTTAGTGTACAATTCACAGGTAGTGCTTTGAGTAATGTATCCCCCCAGATGAGATGCAGTGTCTCTCACCTGTCACTTGACATGGTGGGAAGAAAAGCTGAAACTGTCCCATTCCATCCTGTATTTGCCCTTTGGAAAGGAACAAAGGAAAGGACTGTATCCTATGTAAATATTTTTGAAAACTACTGATTTAGAACTGCTGGTGTTTTGGTATTCAGTTAAATGGTTGTTTGGAGATGGGCTACTGAAGAGAAGTGAAGCAGTTGTAAAACAATTTTGAATTATTATACACAAGTTTAAGGCAGAATACAGTTTATTAGTATGGGACAGTGCTTGTGAAAAGTGAAAATCCTAGAGTGAGGTTTAATACAGAGTACAGTCCCGTTGCTTCATTTTCCATTTGGCCGAACTCTGAATTGTCCATAGAATACTCTAAAGGTGACCATAAATCTTTACTTTCAGTTCATGTTATGTATGCTAAAAAGTTGACTGGTTGAAAGTCACAGACCCTGAGTGTTGGTACATTCTATTTATATACTAGAGAATATTCTTTAAAGAATAGAATAGTTTCTATATAATGAAAAGCAGTAATTCAACAATGCAGTGCAGTTCAGAGCCTTCACAATACAGTGTGTTACAGTAACATTAAGCAGATAGTTTTCTGTGATTGTAAGCTGAATGAAAGCTCTGTGAGCTGCTTGGTTTTTGTTAGCATATCATAGCTTGTTAATCATGCTGTATTAGTAAAGGGCTGATCTTTCTCACAGTGAAATGTTAGTCCTCTTAGCATTCTTCCAAATTTGTTAAAAGTTTTTAGTCAGTACAGCAAAGAAACAACTGCCAGGCATTTGAGTACATGCATGGAAGTCCTTAATCAGCAAACAGACAGGAACTAAACACGTCTTGTACTGTGGTGGTATTCTTAGCTTGAGAAACAGATAACATGCAATATCCAGTGAGTCACTGTGCCCAGCACTGCTTTTGCTTCACAGTGGTTTTAAGGAGGATGAATGCTTTGCTTTCCCGTCTCTGTGTCTAATTTTAGTATGCCAGCAGGCCCGAGGACTTTCAGGCCACCTTCTTGGATAATGCCATCCAAAACATTAAAACTTCAAAATGGCTGGATGTTACTGCTGTGCTGTCTGACATTGTATCCGTGTATAAAACATCTCCTGTTCTTACTTTGTGGATAAATACACATGGTCCGCTAAGTGGACACGAGGGATACTCAGTCATCTTGTTACAAAGCAGATTTTGGCTCCTGGTACATTTGTGGCAGTCATAAGAGAACCATAATCTGTTCTTTTTATCCTTTTGTATTAATGGGCTACTAAGGGTAAATGTCTGTATTGAAAGGAAGTAAGATCGTACAGCTCTAAATATCTGGTTTTCTGTTTTCTTACCAAGGGTGTGACTTGTCCAGAACATACTTGTGTCTCTTCTCTCTCTGTTATGTGTGTAAACACACAGACAGACACAAATTAAAAATGAAGATTTGTAAGTAATGTTTTGGTAATTTTGTTAATGCTCATCTTATCCAGTCTTATGACCAATCATAAGTCATGGCTGAATTTGACTTTCCTGTAATTTTCTGCTATTTATAGCAGAAGAAATTCCTTGTGCTCTATATAAATCTCTTTTAAATACGTTCTGCAACCACCAAAAGCAGCAATAAAAACTAATCTAAAGCTAGTGGAAGAAACTTAGGCTACACATATAAATGGAGAAAAGAAGTGAAAGCATTTAAAAATCAGTAACATATTGTATATGTTTTGAAAACTCATAGGTTTTTTTGAGGCAACCTGCCAAAGACAGTGTTTGTTTCCTTGCAGACTTTGGTATAAGAGTGCTGCATGTCCAAAGTCATGTAGCAGTGTGTTTAGAAGTGGTTTATTCCCAAGTTTTTTTCCTAATCTTTTAACCCATTAGTTGAGCTTTGTGGAGATAGAAATTAGTAGTATTGATTGAATTCAGTGTTATCTATTTGCATGTCCAAAATCTCCCATACCCAAATGAAAATCAGAAGATGAGGTAATAGAATTTCATTTTGAAAATTAATACTGCAAATGATTTTTCCTAGAAAGAAAATAATTGAATTGTAATGAACAAAGTTTTGTATGTACAATAACTTGATCAATCTTTTAAAATAAACAATTCCTTATACTTGTTATTAAAGGTGTTTCCATATTTAGTTTTCTGCTGTTTATATTTTCAGGATTTCTCTATAACAAAGTCTCTTACATTTTTTTAACACAGATATCTATCCATTCCAGAACTATTTTTTGCTACAACCAGAGACGGAAATGGCATGACTGGAGTTTTAAGTAATTTGACTTTGACCATTTCGCCATTTTCTGAGAACTTGGAACAGAATTTGAACTCTACTTCTGCACTATCCTAGGTTATAATGCCGTCCTTTTCTAATGAGGGAGGTATGCTGGTCTTGGATTTTTAATATAACCTATTAATTATTCAGTGTACTTGTACCTCTTAATTGCGATGAAGTACGTTTTTTTATCTTTAGTTCATTTGTATATGTTATTTGAGATATAAAAATGTTAATAGTTGCAACGTTATTTTTCAAAGATAACCATGGAACTGATCCTCTGACTTTGAGTTCAGCACTATCCTATCAAGGCACAACTAAAAGAAAAGTCAAAAAGAAGAAGAACAATGGAGTCATCACTGCGAATATCTCTGGCACAAAATACGAAATTGGTAGGGAGCTGCATATTTTGTTTTCATCCTAATAGCCATTTATGTGAGCAAATTACTAACTAATGGAGTGAATCAACAGACTTTGCATCAAGCTGACAAATTAAAATAATGCACGCATTTGCTTTTGGAACTACTGTACCTGGACTGAGGAGGCATTCTTGTCCTTATTTCCACTGACACTTACAGGCATCACTGGTTTAAAATTAACTTATGTCACATCCACGATTAAGTTTAACTGCTGTACGAGTGGACTTTTACCAGATGATTGGGGAATACACTGAAGCTTTTTTCAGCTCCCATCAGTGGTTGTGCTCTGACTTCTGCCTCAGTACAAGGTGCTGGAACATTTCAATGGCCGGTTTGCAATAGGCTGATGGAAATATTGCAAGACAAATAGCTTGCATGCTAACATTGTTCTCAGACAAAGGGTCATATATTGGAAGTGCTTAAAATCTTTATTGATTTTTTAAAAATTTGAAAATTAATCCATTTTACCGTTTCCAAATGGTCCCTATATATGTGATTTCTTCACAGTACGTATAGTAGTGAAAGAAATGGGATTTAAGAAAGCACCCGATGAAGATGAAACAGCTAATCTTATATGGAGTGATTGTGCTGTGCAACAGGAGAAGATTGCTGAGCTTCAGAACTATCAGGTAAAGTGGTAGTTAAGATTTTTGACACGTTTCAGTAAACTGCTTCACTCTGAAATATTCAGTAATGTATCAATGCTCAGTTTCACTTGTATGGAGGGCAAAAAAACCACACAAAACACAATCAAGCAAACTCAATAAGGCTGTACCACTGCATATCTAAAATCCTATTCTCTTTTCCAGAGTTATTTGTTCATACCACTTGGAATCTGGTGTTTAAATATTTGGGGCTGTTCTTTCATGTTTTGTCTGCCAGTTGGGGGTGTTGTGAATATCAGAGTTTGAAAGAAGATGCAAAATGTCATTTATAAGTATCTCATAAGCTTTTAAGCAGTAAGTTAACAACCAGAGCTCTCTCCACAGTTTCTGTGAATAAATAATTTGGTTTCTTTACCACTAATTTGTGATAGCATTCTTTGTTCCTAGATGGCTTGGTGAATAAGGGTATGATAGTCTCATGTATGAAATGAAATCAACGGGCACTTATGTTGATGGAGGAGAATAGAACTTACAGCATCTTTGGTATTGCTAAGAATATGTAGTATAATGTAAGATATTATCTTAAATAATTTAGATTTAATACTAATTATTTTTACCTGAGCATGCAGTTGAACATTTTAAATGATTGTATTAGGTATACCAGAAAAACTAGAAAGTATCAACCAGCTTTCTTTTTTTTCTACTTCCTCAGAGAATCAACCATTTTCCAGGAATGGGAGAGATATGCAGAAAGGATTTTCTGGCAAGAAACATGACTAAGTAATATTTCTTTTAATATTAAGAAGTTTTTCAGCTGTAGTATTTAATGCAATACAATATGGAACTCTTGCTTATGAAGTTTGTTCATTTTTGCTAAGAAACTGTGAGAGGACCAAGAATAATTTCCAAAGTTCATTAATAACTTTTGCTTTGGTCCTGGATCTGTAGTATTGGAGTGGGCTACTGTATCTCTCCAATTGACTTCAGTGGAAAATGATGTGGGTTCAGTTCTCTCTCTGCACATTGAAGAATGTAGGTGAGCCTTGAATTATTGTACAATAAACTTAATCCATAATACACCCAGGTATATATCCTATAGTGGTAGAACAGAAAAAAGGACTAGTCTGTGGATGGATAGTGAGTCTGGATGCAGTCCTGTGCAATGTGCTCTAGGATAGCTCTGCTTGAGCAGGGAGGTTGGACCAGATGACCCAAGGTGAAGCATCTTATTGTTTATATAAGAAGTAAGTCAGTGAGGCTCATTTGTCTAATTACAAGTTCTCGCTCTAGTGGAATAACTGGCTTCTGAGGAGTTATCCTCACTGGGAATCTGTGAGCAAGACCTGCTACAATAACTATACTAAATAATGATTTGAATACTAAAACAATACTAAATAATGATTTGATGGCCTGGAAATAAGGAAAACTTTTGGGATAAATATGTGTCAATATTTTGGTTATTCTAATCTAAATTAGTTTGAAGAGCAATTATTAATAGAATTAATCTTTTGGATTCCAGCATTACTTATACTGCATTTACTGTTACCAGAACAGAATTTGTTTTCATATTAATGTACTTAATGTGATATCTCCTCTTTCTCTTTCAATTTCTTTCTCTTCTCTTTTCTGTTTTGTAACTAGAATACATAGCATGTAGAATGCAAATATTGTGTGCATTGCTGTGGTGTCTGCATGTCCTACATGTGGACCAGAGCTCCTATGTGTCAGCAGTGCTTCACAAGCACTTTTCACTGCCCTCAAGTGGGGCACTGGACTTAAAGTGCAAACACACAGATAGCACATGGAGGCAAACCCAGTTATTTGGAGAGGCCTTGGAAGCAGTTGGTCAGCTTTGTACACAGTAGTAAAATGGACAAAAGGCTCTTGTTATCATGTACACATTCTTTCAAATCCAGTCCAGTAATACCTCTCTCAAGCTACTGAATTCTGAGTTTGAAACACAGTTTAAAGTTACTCAATACTGAGATTCCACATATAGATAGGACAGGAATAATTGCTCTGATAACTCTGGGTCAAACATCTGTGTTGTGACTTCACTCAGTGTCCATACAGGTAGCAGGGTTTTAATTCAGTCTGGTTTTTTCTTACTACTGGCCTCACAACTCAATGCTTAGTATTCATAATTTATAAAAATCAACATTATATGCCTTGAGACTGCTTGTGAAATCACAAGTCATTTGGGATACATGGTTGAGCAGGCTCTTGCGTGTAGAGTGCAGGAGTTTTTTCCCTACAGCCGTTGTTCTGTCTTAAAATTTATTTAAACAGGATTGTGCAGAAAAACTAATTCTATGCTCTTGCTTTTCTGCTGCATGCCATCTTTTCTATTCCTAACTCTACTGATTACTATCACTGACAGTTCATGAAACTTTCTTGAGAATTGGTGGGGAGTAGAGTCTTTTTTTCTTTTACATTTGATGTTATACTGACCTCACCCTTCCATTTTATGCAAGTTATTGGGAATGGAGTGAAAGAGCAAATCTACCTGACTGTAGGCAAATACTATTCAGGAGGAAAGGCACTTCAGGAATTCCTTTTGCAGCTAATATCCAGGGTCTGGATCATAGGACAACATGGTTTTCACATGCAGAAGAGTGGAAGGGGGCAGTGTAATACGTAGCATATGTAATATGGAAGAAGACAACCCAGCAAAGAAAGTGAACAAGCAGTAATGGAACAGATAGAAAGAGGAATGTAATGGAGAACAAAAGCAGGCATGAGCAACATTTTCAAGGGTGATAATCAGAACACAGAAAAGAAAAAAAAAATAATAGAAGTGCCATTGTAGGGCCAACTAGATCTTAAGAGACCATTTTGAATGGACTCTTAGATGAAAGCTCCTTATGTGAAGGATAAGTGTGCTTAGAGAATGAATGCAGTAAATGGGAGTGCACAGGATGAATGGATCCATCTATGAGATGGTGTTTTTTTGCAGCTCCTTTGTTGTTTATATTTAAAAGATTCATGAACTGATCATGGGCCAAGAATCATTCTCATCCTTACCTACTCACTAACTTCCTTTCATACTTGAAAAGATGGAGGATTTTGAAACCTGGGCAGTGGAACCTGTGTTGTTGGACTGACAAGTCATGTCTTTAGTAAACTATGTTTGGTTCAGTACCTTAGACTCTGCTGAACAGAAAGTGCTCTGAGATCAAGAGCACAGTCTGACCACATCTGTGAGCTAAAATAGCACGCAGAGGAACAATAATTTGCTGTTTAATTCTCAGACCTCCTGGTAAGGACTGTGAAGGCTAAAGGATAGAGCAGCACAGTGAAAAAGTGGTTACCCACAGCAGTGGACAGCAGATGTACTGAAAAATAGGGCTATTGTAATGGAATAGGCCTTGATTCCAATGATGATGTTCCTAAGACCTTTCTGAATAGGGCCAAGTGAGGAAAGAAAAGAGCTGAATTCTTTTGTGGAAAGTTTTAGTGAGCCCCAGAACTTGTAAAAATGCTGAAGTATTCCTGTTCATATTATTAAGTGTTTGCAATCTACCCAATTATGCATCAAAAGGAAAAGGCAGTCACAAAATACTATTAATATATCTGGAATACTGTGAAGCTATATTCATTGAGGAGGGAGTGTGTGGATCAAAACCCTCGAGTAAGTTGAATCTCTAACATGTAACAGGATGCACATGATAAATAATCTGGAGAGGGATTTAAACTAACACAGAGATTGCTTTTTGCCTAAAAATAAGATAATTTCTGCTTAGACAAGCTACTCAGTTGGCAAAGTAATAACACTTGTAAATTTAGAGCAGATGGAGAGTAGTTTAACAATATGCATGAATCAGGAATTATAGTATCTACTTATGTTTTTTAAAAGTTTTCCTGAATATTTAGTGGTTTTCATTTAACTGGATTTCTAAAAATAATAGTTATGATGAAGCTGCAAAAGCACTGAACCTCATGCAGGACTACTATAGCTATTGTAGATTCTGCAGAGTATTTGTTGAGGAGCTGGCTACACAGTTTGGTGACAGCATATCTATTATACCAGTAGGGCTTGGCTACAGTCCCAGCCTTACAGATGTGGCTGACAGCTCCATTTTTTCCATTAGTATTTAAGCCACTTAAAGAAAAAGTATCTTATACTGCATCAGGATTATTATATAGGCTCCTAGTAGAAATGAAAAATGGAAATGTTATTTCCTCTTTTACACTTATCTTGATGTCTGTTATTAATATTTTTGCACCTTTGAAGAAACTCCAAATATCCCCAACCCTCTTCTTTGTGTGTGTTGATTCTCATACCTCCCCAAACACATAACAGTATGAAAATTAAAATACTTGCCAAATATCTCTCTGCCCCTCCTCCCCCCAAAATCTATATTTCTAAAATATTTCAAAGAATAGGAATAGCATGAAATCATCTGAGTAACTGGCCAAAAATTGTAACAGGAGTGAGATGGATGCCAAGAAATGAGATGGATGCCAGTAACGTAATAAGCACATTTGATAATAAGCAAAAATGCACAAGATAGTCTGTGTTTGAATATAACATATGCACATGCATATGAATATGTTACAGAGCTCAAACTATGCTTAAAGAAATGCAGAAGTTTGATTTCATGTTACAGAATTCCACTGAAAAAGTTCCCTTGTCAAATTGTTATAAATGCTTTTTAAACCTGAGGATTGAAACATCAAAGTAGTCAGAAGATTTTAACTCAATTAAACTTTCTTTTTACAGAATGATCAAGAGTCAGCCTCAGGAGTACAGTTTTATTCCTCGGACGTGGATCTTCCCTGCAGAATACACGCAGTTTCAGAACTATGTGAAAGAACTGAAGAAGAAACGGAGACAGAAAACTTTCATAGTCAAACCAGCTAATGGTGCAATGGGACATGGGTAAGTTGTGAGTCAACTGCAGTCTTCTTACCCATTAAAAGTGAAATCCAGTGCTAATAACAACATTAACAGAAGCTGTGTATTAGTAAGAATATTGTATTTCAAGGTCCACGGGTAGGGTAAAGGCTTCACAAGCCTCTAATAAGCTCAAATAATTATTAAGTTCACGATAATTTTATTTTGAATTTATGTACTGTGCTTAGACTTATGGGGTGAGACAATATTGGGCATAAAGGGGAAGGCTTTTGTGGCTGGAGGCTGTGGGGGTGTCTATGGGAGGATGTCAGGATGTGCCACAGTTCTGAGACCAGCCCAGATACCCCACTGCATTCCCAATTCACAACCAGTCAGAGAAGCAGAAACGTGTTTGAGAGCAGCAGCTGCAAGGTGTAGGAGAGAAGAGGAGATGCTCCTGGGGATGTGGCTGGAGGTGCACTCTTGGAAGGAGGTGACACCCACGCTGGAGGAGAGACACCCCAGAAGAGACTGCGACCTGCAGTTGAATTGAAATAGTTTTGTCTGTAACAGAGTTGCACAGTAAAAATCCAGTGAGAGAAATATTGCATTTGTATTATTAGTTCTTGTTGCTAGATATTTCAGTTATAGCTTTTATTGCTTTTAATATCAATTTGGACCATACAGTATAGTAAAGGTCTTAGTTATTTAGAATATATCAGAATTACTATAAAAGTAAGACCCCTGAAGTTTTCCATGTCCTCATTTTTCAGTCCTCTTGATAAGGACAAAGATAAGATGAAGGGAAAGGCACCAGCATAGTTCAGAGAAATGCCTGGAAGGTACTTCATTGTGATAGGAGTATTCAGCACCAAAACTCTGAAACATATCTTAAATAATACAGAATAAGATTAGGTAGCAAAGTTCTGGGAATTTGAGGTTAATAATTGTATACTGAAAAAGTAGCTTTTACAGTTATTTAAAAGTCTGTGTAGTTAAACACTGGGAGTTCATAATTCATATATAAACCTTTTTTTATTCTGATGTGGGGAAATTGGAAATACAGAAATACCGAGCTTAATCTGTGCCATTCTTAGTCAGGCAGATCAGTGTCCTGCTTTGCAAACATCATCAGTATGTCAGGTTAGCACTGAAAGTTCTTTGCAGCCTGTACCTCGTGCAGAAGTTGTGACAAAGACTGGAAGTCTATTTTTAGAGCTGAAGGGGGAATAATCACAGAAGCTGGAGACTGGTCGTTCTGCCAAACAATTTCTAAGTGCAGAGCAAACCCATTACTACAAAATCAAAGCAAGCATAAAGTTATTTTGAAATGGCTCATTGCCTGTTTTCATCCAGTGAAGAACCATAAAGGATAGGAAACCAAAAGCCGTGTAAGGGAATGGAACTTTTTCTCTGCCCTAAAAACTAGACATGTGAGTCTCTTTCTCTAGGTAGACTTTAGCCTGATTACCTGGCTGAGTGACCATGAAAATGTATTTCATAGAGTAATGTTCAAGTTTCACATTTTTAAAATAACTTTTGTTTTTACCAGGATCTCTTTAATAAGAAATGGAGAAAAGTTACAAGCTCAGGATCACTTAATTGTTCAGGAATATCTTGACAAACCATTTCTTATGGAAGGCTACAAGTTTGATTTACGTGTATATATTCTTGTAACCTCCTGTGATCCATTAAAAGTATTTTTATATCACGATGGACTAGTGAGAATGGGCACCGAAAAGTATCACCCCCCCAGTGACTCAAATTTGGTAAGTTGGAGTTCATTCCAGTTTATTGCTTATGCATATAGATTTCTACCTGTGCAGCATTTGGAGGAGGTAAAGTAAAATAAATTGGGGTGTGAGATTTAATTTGATGCTCATTTGGATGAACTTCTGCATTTTCACGGAAAAGAAAAATTCAAATGAAAGGTCTTTACTCATGCTTTTCAAAATCACAAGCATAGCCATATTACTGCTTATATATAAAAATTTTATATGACTGCATGAATGTGTGCTACATGCACACATAATTAAATGTTTTCTACAAGAAAGCAAAAGATATCAATTATTGACATTCAACCCAGAAAAAATAAAGTAAATCAATTCACTTCAAGAACAGTCACTTTGCTTTTATGTTCATGGGCCAGACAGTCTGGGCTGGGGTGGGAGGTGGTAATAAGTTTTATCTCCTGTTAGATCACGGTTTAATGTCCCTGAAGTTTAGAGCCTGTGCTGAGGGTCCTGCAAGGTTTCAGTCTTGTCTTGGGAACTTAACGCAGAAAAGAGAGGAGCAGCAGCACCAGGGCCCAGTGTGGGAGGGGGTCACTGCAGCCCCTGAACTGGGGGGATCTGCTGCTCTTTGTCAGTGACCGCTTCAGCAGGGACAGGAGAACACACCTGGCAGCTTTAGGATGATCCAGGAGGGCTGCCTGTAAACTTAGGGAAAACCAAGAAATGGTGAGGGACATGCTGAAGATATTGGACACTTTCATGCCCCTGTTCACTGTGTAGCATCTTGCCCTGCTCAGGGGTGTAACCCTTCTCTTCTGGCACTGACTAAAATGCAGATGTGTAAGAAAGAAGTAGATTTGAAGCGCTGGTAGATTTGAGTTTTTTATACCTCACTCCATACTCCAGTCTATATTTCTTTTTCCATAACATATACTTTTAGAGCTACTTCAGTGTAATTATGTAGCAGACAACACATGTAGAGCCTTTCTCCCTACTTGCAACTTAAAGTTGTGACTGTGTCTTCGTGCACCTTTGAAAAATGCAGGTATAATTTGTAGCCCAGCACAAATGCTGTATTTGGAAGAGTTCCAGTACTATATTTGGAATAGCCTGCTTTTAATATTTTTGTTTTGCTGCTAATCTCGGCATTAGCAGCACTGAAATATGCTCTGAGCGGATAAATGGAACAGGCAGTTGTTTCTGTGTTCTCACAACTGCTCATGCTCTGGTTTGTCTATTGTATGAAGTAACCTGGCTTGTCCCTAATGACATTGTTCTCTGGATGACATTGTTCCATAGTGACATTGTTCCAAATAACTTCAGACTATTAGCTCGGGTGTTTAACAAAACACTTTCATTTTTTTTGTAGTCTGAAAAATAATTACTTTTGTATGAAATAATTTGAATTTCATGAAAAGATTACAGTTATGATGACTTAAAACCAATAGATTTCAGTATGATTCTCGATATTTGAAAGTAATTGAAAGCCATGGGACAAAGTCATTACTTCTAGTGCTACAGTGTATTTTTAACTAGCTTGCAATTAAATTGTTTTGTTAATTTCATGAAGTTTTTTTGAACATAAGGAAGTGTAGTAAGACAAATGACAGCAGAAGGCTTGTGTTATCTATCAAAGAGGAAACGGAACAGAAAACTTATGGTCAACTTAGAGTATCAACTACTCTCACGTATGTAATCAAACATGACAGAGAACTGTGATGAGGACAGTCCTCAGGGTAGTGTAAGTGGAAAACTAAATTAATATCTGCACTGGGAGGTAATGTAAATCTACAGATCATGATTTATAAATTGGCCTTGGAAAGGAAATTTTTTTTTTTTTTAATTCAACTGATAACATGAATCTAATGCTGGTGGCATTTTACTCCTTAAGGTAACTGTAGTACTCACTCATTTATGTTATGCATGTCTTGAAATTTACCTCCCTCTGATGTATGGCTACCAGCCAGTTAAAAATGAGCAATTTTGGCAGCTATCAACGTACCAGATGAGTTTATCTGTAAAAGATATTTTAAAGTATCACTATAATGAGATCATATCTCATAAATAAGCTACAGTGAAAACTGAAATGTGGGATTGTCTATGAAAAACAGATGCCAGAGCGTTTTTTAGCACTTTTAAAGTAGCTCTTCAAAATACCATCTTTATTGTTTGCTTGTCGTGGAATGTAGTCATTCTGTAAGTCATCATAATTGCTTTTCACATTTTTAGCTAGTTTTTTTTACATACAGACCTGTAAAAATGGCAGATATATTATATTATCTAACCAGATGTTGAGTGGTAGATCAGTGGACTGCAGCTGGCTTAAATATGAGCCCAGGTTTTGTTGGAAGAAGGTTAGAACATTCAGCTTTCAGTATAAATCTCCAAGAATTGGAAACACTAAATCTTCATATAATGTATTTATAAATATGAACTGTTTGGCTCTGTCATTATTGATGTACTTTTAAAATTTTCATTATTTTGAATTGACCATTCTGGAGTTGTATTTAAGGTTTTTTTAAATGTCCTTTCTCCCTTTTTTTAGAGTCAATTGTATATGCATCTGACTAACTACTCTGTCAATAAACATAATGAACACTTTGAACGGGATGAAACAGAAGACAAAGGAAGCAAACGCTCCATAAGATGGTTTACTGAGTTTCTAGAAACAAATAATCTTGATGTCTCCAAATTCTGGAGTGATATTTCAGTAAGATAAACTAATGCACTCTTATTTATTTTGCATGTTCTTAGAAAATTAGTTGCTTCTGTTTTACTGCAATACAGAATGATTTCTGAAAGTTTATTAATCCAGATTCTCATTCATGCCACAAAGGGCATACTGTAAGTGATTGTTATGTTTTTTAAAAGGCAAACTTCGGAGTCTGATTACAAATTTCATGTTAACATTTTTCTGATGATCAGAAGTCCTTTAAAACAGTTATTCACATAAGTAGTGTGATACAAAGGAACCATCCCATTTAAATTCTTGGAGACTTTTCTAAAGTGAATTTTATCTGTGAATATTTACGTTACGGTAGTCAGTATGGTATATATCTATGGACTTTGAGCAACACCACTAAAGTGGCTGCATTACAGGTGTCTTTAGGTGAGGAACAGGCCTGTTAGAGCTTAGAGCTGTATGTACGATTCTGAGAATACTTGCTGAACTATATTGCAAAATGAAATGGGTGAAGATTGGCTATACTGTACTATGTTCCCAATATGCTTTTATTATTTAACTTATTATATTTCTCAAAGTTCATATGTACCACGGAAAGTATAACAATAGAGTCTAGAACTATATAAAATTGTATTTGTTCCTCTGTGGGGATAGTTTATTTATTATAGACTATTTGTTTGATATTTTCTTTTTTTTTTTAGTAGATGCATACATGAAATTTAAAATAGTAAAATGTGAAACATAGTAATTCAGTATATACCGGTGTCTTCTGTCCTGATGAATTTTTCTGAAACAAATCCCTGCAGGAACTGGTAGTGAAGACTCTCATCGTTGCAGAGCCGCATGTTCTTCATGCTTATCGCATGTGCAGGCCAGGCCAAGCCCCAGGAAGTGACAGCGTCTGCTTTGAGGTCCTGGGATTTGATATTCTGCTGGACAGAAAACTAAAACCATGGCTCCTAGAGGTAAACCTCTTTATACAGATGTAAAGTCAATTTTTAGGAGTAAAGGTAACCAAGCCTCAGCTGAACCTGTATCTATGTAGGAAAATCGGTGCATTGCACAAGGTACTGTTGTTGGGTACATAAATGGTGCTTGTTCTGCAGCACCCATATGGAAACACTACCCTGCAGTGATTTTTGGATACTCAAGTAAAAGTAATTGTTTTCCTGGACAACTGTTGCATATCAGATGTTTTTGAATGTTTTAATGGAATTGTGGTGTTAATCTAGTTGTTACTGTAGATAGAAGACATTGATTACATAGATTTCCTTCAGAAGTATGGCTGTGTAATATGGCTCTGGCAACTTTTGTGAATGTATGCTCCTAACTTTCTATCTTTTGGGGATATGTGTTCTTTTTCTCTCCTATGCTTTTTAAAAACACCCCCATAAACAGAGGAAACTAATTCAGTATACATGAAATACTGCAAGCAATTGGCAGAAATGGACTGGAAGAAGCATTTCTCCTCTGATGTGTTTGTTAGTGGTACAGTTAAGCTCAAGTGGTGCTCACACACATTTTCAAACAGAAATGTTTGTCTGTTGTGTCTCTTTAATTGCACTATTAATGACATATAGATAAAGCTCACTTGTCTTTTCCAGATTGTTTTATGTCATTCTGTTAAGTGGCTGGGAGGCTATGCTGCTGGAGGAAAACAGCAAAATGTATTAAAAATCTGTCTATTGACAGTAATTCATGAACATGATTTGGCTACTGATGAGCAAAATGTACACAATTAATTTACTGAATTATAACCTCATTCTTAGGCCATTAATACTGCCAACGACTGTGTTGTCATTCTTATTTCTCTTGGAGGTTCATCATAATTTTAATTAGAACAATAAAATTCCTCCACTGTTGCCACGCAGACAGCGGCGTATTTGGTGGCTTTGATGTTCTTGCCAAAAGCAGCACATGACATGAACTTAGTCTGTACTACATTGACATCTTCTGTTTTTGTCCAGTGAAGCCTGCTGTCCCTTTGATTTAGTGCTACACTTCCAGATTGCCATCTATAGATTGCCTGTAGCTTGCATATAAGTGTATGTAGTTATTTAAGTGCAGATTAAAGTTGGTCCGTGTGACATTTCATCAGCCGTGCAGCAAAAGCTGATAGAGCTCTTCTGTGAGGGATGGTGAGGCAGCCTGTGTAGTAAGTCCATCTGAAGGACACACCTCAATGTCCTCTCATGTTTACATGAGGTATGGAGATTCTGGGGGGCTTGATTCACCACTTATGATACTGGGTCTCAGAAGAGAATCATAGTATCCCAGACTTCTGGTTTATGAGAGAGAAAGCTTGTAAGGGAGTAAATGCTGCTCCAGTAGTTTGAGTTGCTGGAGAATACTTCAGGGCTTGGAGTTGTATGCCTGGTTACTAATTTTTTTTGTTCATACAAAAGTCTAAGTACTTTGCTAGACATTTAACTAAAATAACAGAAATTTCAAACTTTGCAACTACTCAGTTTCTATATTTGTCCACTATTTTTTACTGTGCTTGTTCATGTTTTTTGCAGCACTCTGACAACAGAGTACTTATATGTATGCACACTGTATGTATGGTCCATGTAGTGTAGTAAAGATCAAATATTCAATGTATATAAACACACTATGCATAATATTCCATGTGTATATATGTGCACATATATAGATAATTTTTTTTTTCTAAAACAGTTCTGGCTTCTTCACCATATTTCCACTCTTAATCACTTTCCACCATTCCCCTCTGGCCAAAACCCCCTAAGGGGAGTGAATCATTCTTTCTGACAGTGGTAACAAGTACTAATCACAAGGCCGTGAATGTTCCCAGTGTTATGGGAAAATTGCCAAAATAGGATTAGGATGATAAATCTAGTTTCATGTTCCCATGCCTCATGTAGCTTTTCTGTTATAAAGATAGCTTCATAAACTATTACAAGAAATAAATTGTGCAGCATATTATAATGACTCTGCTTTTCTGAGTTGACTTTCATTTATGTTGCCCTGATGTGTTGTAGCTCTCCTGCTCCTTGATGCTGCTGAACTTCCGGAACCTTCTACCGAAGCGAGGGCTCTGGGAAATGCTGGATTGCCATCTTGTGGCACCAAATGTTTCTGGCAAGCATTTGTGCAGTCTCAGCAGCCTCCATCCTTTCTGAGTAGCAACATCTACCTAGATCTAGATCTCCCTTCAGTTTGCATAAAATCCAGTTTTACTCTTTTTGACCAAAATTTCCAAGCTTGCTTGGAAAGAGGGAAAATCATCCACTTGAGGTTCTTGGATGGACTCCAGTCTTGTTCAACCTCATTCCCCTGTGGGCAGTGTGTATCTGAGTCTCGGGATTTTCAGGGCCTTCCACTGTGGGCAGTGTGATCTGAGTCTGGATTTTGAGGGCCTTCCACTGTGGGCAGTGTGATCTGAGTCTGGATTTTGAGGGCCTTCCACTGTGGGCAGTGTGATCTGAGTCTGGATTTTGAGGGCCTTCCACTGTGGGCAGTGTGTATCTGAGTCTGGATTTTCAGGGCCTTCCACTGTGGGCAGTGTGTATCTGAGTCTGGATTTTCAGGGCCTTCACTATCATCATTTGCTTGTACTGTGGTCCCTCATACAATCCTGTTTTTGTCAACAACCTTCAAGATGTGCCTTCCTGATAAAATTCCTGATGTTACATTAACACAGCCTAGTTGAGCATGTCCCAGTTCATGGGTCACTGAACTCCAGATAACAGTCTCTCAGCTGACAGATGCACATACAGTGGTTTGGTAACCAGTTACGAGTATCTCTTGTGGCATATCACTAGTATGATATCAAGATTACTGTACTACTGTCTTACAGATTAGTCAGCAATCACATTTCTTGTCTGGAAATAAGGGATAACCACATGACCAATAAGGGACAGTACTTTCTTTTGAAGGATATTTTAAGGGAAAATCAGTTGCCTTAACATACAGCTTTTGCACAAGACTTCTCAAGCTTTTCAGCCATGACCACAATTTTATTCCAATGAATATTTAACCTCTTACATAAGTAAAATTATATGCAGATACCAAACAGCTGAATATAGAGAGTGATGGTATTTGCATTTCTTGTACTACTTAGACTACAGCCATTTCCAATGTATCTCATCACATTTCATTGGCACTTGAAAAGAAAAAAGGGATGTAAATCAATGTTTATACTGTCTAAGTATTGAAAAAAGTCAGCCTTTGTGATGTGATAGGAGAGGAACAGGTCAGTCTAAAGAGATTAAAAGATTAAATATTTGGATGAAAGTCTTCCAAAAAAGAATATGTATAAATCTTTTCACCATTTCTGCCAAATTTTCATGTTTTTTGTTTCAACATCAGTTCTCACTGCTCAGTTTGCCAGCCTGTCTGCAAAAGCAGCAAACAAGCTGATTCCAAAGCTCAAATAGGGCAGCTAGCGGCTAACCAGCCAGGACAGTTCTGTCCCACAGCTGCAGAGGCTCTAAGATGTAGTTAGATTGTTAAAACAACATATTAATTAACCGCTTCTTCCCTCTGCTTTGGACATACAAGCTATCCCACTTTTGATTTGCATGGGGCACAAGGTGTTAGCATTCACTTCTGAAACCCTTTTGTGTCTGTCCCTCCTGTAACCAGCACTGCTCATTCACGATCAGGGTGAGATTCCTGCCTCTCATTAGCACCCATTGCTCAAATATTAATTTTTATACCATTCTGGAAAGGATTCCTCGAGTAAATCATTATTCATTCTCAAAGCTTTCTGAAAATGGAAGTTCTTCTGCAGGGTTGTAGGGTGGCTGGTTGAGACTCCTGGCTGCTAAGTGTGTGATTTAGTCTTGCTGATTCCCAGTTGCATTTCCTTGTTTCTCCATACTTATGGAAACATTTTTAATCTCTTTTTTTGTACTTAGCTTATAAACTTTTTGTTACTGAGATATTTAATTATTTTTAGTTTTCACACTATGTACTGATTTAATAACATAGATCTCTAGGTGTTGTTGTCAAGTGTATCTGAAAAGTTATTTAAATATGCTTGAGCAGACCTTGAATTAGAGGCTCCTTTTGTCCTTGGATAGTCATTACTTTTTAGAGTAGCATTTAAAGTTGCTTTCAGACTGGGAACTAGGAAAGAGTTTAACTCTTCCTGTGCTGGGCCAGGACAGCACAGCACATCATGTGTTACAAGGTGTCTAACAGCACTGTGTGTGGTGAATGTTCTGGTTGCAGCAAGCGCAAGTAGATCAGCCTGGATCACAGCGCCAGTACTTGAACGGTGTTCACTGTAAGTGTCTGGATAACTTGGGGACTGAAAGGTACCTCTCCTGGCTCCCGGTAGCTGTGATAATCAGTACTCTGCTTTTTAAAAAATACAAATGGAAAAGAGCTTCTCCACATATATTCTGGTACTCTACTGTGTTTGAAAGAGTCATTTCTCCAAAGCCTGTTACAACAGGTGTGTTCCCCATGAACCTGAACAGTCCTGCGTATTCTGTATCTTATTTTTTTCAGATTAATCGTGCCCCAAGCTTTGGAACGGATCAAAAAATAGACTATGATGTAAAAAAAGGTGTTCTGCTGAATGCATTACAACTTCTCAACATACGGTAACTTGTCCCCTTTTCTTCAGTCTGGAAAGGTTCTTTGCTTTGATTTTTTTAATTTTATTTGTTTTTAAACTTGAATTGGACAGGGAGAAAATGAAGACCTTTTTTTCACCTTCATATTTTCAAAATGTAAATGTTTCCCTTACTGTCAGTTTTGCTATAGAAATAACCCAAATTTAATTTTTCTTCTTGCATATGTGTTTGCAAAAAAAATTAATAGTAATAGTAATTTTTGTACTTTTTAAAAAAAGTATTTTTCAAAGAGGTCTCAAAGTTGGGATATGTGGCAGTCCTGGGCATGGTGATAGTGTCAGATACAGTCAAAAGCCATACCCCTCTACAGGAAAAGTTTGTAGCTGGGATATGTTGGAAAAAAGCTACACTTCAGGAAAATAGAAGCAACCACGTTTGTACATGAAATTATAGCAGAGAGTTTATACAGTACCCCTAAAGAATATTGTAGCCATGAAAGTTAATACTAAATAAACTCCCAACTTAGTGAGCATTTCAATTCTAATTTTATGTAATAAACCACACATGACTGATTGGAAAATACAGCTGATATATACTTGATAGGACAGTACATCTTAGCTGCATTGAACTGACATCTCTTAATATTGTCTGTGTTTCAGGACAAGTGACAAAAGGAGAAATTTAGCTCAACAGAAGGCTGAGGCTCAAAAAAGACTGTATGGCCAAGGGTCAATGAGGAAACTGTTGCCAGGTTCCTCAGACTGGGAGAAGCAGCGCCACACGCTGGAAAGGAGAAAAGAAGAACTGGTAGGAAGCAGAAAAAAGGGCTGTTTCTTGCCCATGGTTTATGGCCTCTTTGTTTTAATTGTCTTATTTTTCTTGCTTTGTAGAAGGAAAGACTTGCACAAGTACGTAAACAGATTTCCAAAGAGGAGCATGAAAATAGACACATGGGGAACTACAGGTGCATATTTTTGACTGTATTAGTAGGAAGTATTCAATGCATTCATCAGGAATAATGGGAATAAGTATTTGTGGTAGATGACAATTTTCTGCTAAAAATGAGTACGCATTTATAGAAAATATATACACGTACGTCAGGTAGGTTTTTATCCAGGTAGTTCTTCTCTTGATTCCAATTTTTTATATGCATTTAGGAATTTATATGACATCAGTCACCCTAGTATTTGTGAAAGACATTTGTTTGAAAGACTTGTTTATTCACACTGAGTGTACCAAGAAACATGACTGTTGTTATGTTATACAATCATCCTTGTCTCACTGGGGATGAGGGAGGGTAATATAGGGGTATGATTATTCCCCTGTAAAGAAATCAAATCTGATTTGTATCTCAGTCTTGCCAAAAATTCAGAAAATTTATTGATGCATCCACCATTTTTAATAGAGTGACATTTGAAATACTATATTCATATTTTTGCACTATGATTTTGGACCTTACTAGACTTAAACATAAGTACCTTCAGATTCCTTGGTAAAATATGTTCAACAAGAGCTTTATCTTGTCAGTTACAATAGGCATTAACCAGAAAACAAAAATTTTGTTTTATGATGTTTTTACTATTATTTCTTGATTTATGCTTCAATGAGAAGTGAAAGCAAGGCCTATGAATATTTGTTGAAAGGAAGCAGAGTGTGGCTAGGAAGAGATGGGAATATTTGCCCACTCTTTATAACATTCATCCAGAATGTGAGAGGTTCACATATTTTATTCTGAATTAGTCAGAACGCCTTTGCCGCTGTTCTTCATCACTGCTTTTTTTGAGCAGATGTCTTGTAACTCCTAGTAAAGTTCTCATTTAAACAAAGAGATGTTTGTGTGAAATTTTCATTTTTGATGACTTAATATTTTGCTTTCAAAACGTCTTTGTCACTTTCCGAGTTTTAATTACATCCTTTCTTGATGGAGCTGAACTAGTATGTTAGAAAACCCTAAACGTGGAATGAAGTGATGAAGTGGTTATTTTCATGTCCTTTAGAGAAACACCATGGTGCTTTAACATATTTTTATTTTTTGCTAACTTTAAAATTTAGCGCATTAAATGATCACGTTTTAGGTTGTTTATTCGGTTCTTGACTGAAAAAGAGCCACATGTTCTCCTTATTTAGCTTTTGGGTTAATGTCAATCAATACAAACACAACATTTTTTTCTCTGGAAGAAGTGAAGTGTCTCTTCATGAGGAATGTGCACTTGTAAAAGGGCAGAACAGCTTTGTGGTTTCTCATCACCATGTGCTAGAGAAAAGGCTGAAGAATCAGTAGATCCTGAGAAGGAAAGTAATCTTGGCTAGAGATGCAGAGGAATATTATCGGAGTGTTATGCAGTATTTCTCCATGGGATATTCCTTTCCAAAGCAAGACTAAATTCTGTCAGGCACTGACATACAATCAGGGAAATTTTGGGTGCTAGTATTGCTGCATGGATTAATACTGCACTCTAAACAAAAATCCAAAGAAACCTCAATCAACCTCAGCAGGCTTGGATTCAGTCTGGGGATATCAGCTCAGCAACTGGCTTAGCTGATGTCTGTCTGCAAGTACAACTGGTTCCAGGAGGAGTCTTGGGGCAGGTGAAGTAGGAGCCGTGCTTTCAAGATTTTGGGAATTCATGAGGAATTGGAAAGGACATGTATGGCTTTGAAATGGCTTTCAGCTGCAGTCTATTTCTACCTATATTAAAAGTATTATCCTTCCTTTAAAGTACTGTCCTATGACACTTTTTCTGCAGTAGAATGCACACCATTAAAACATGTTGGCTGAGCCTAAATTAGAGCTCCTCCGGGTCTTACGTGCAAACTGGAACCATCTTCGTTTTGCTCTAGAACTGCCCTGAGTCTACTGATATCATAACCATCCTTTTTTTCATTGCAACCAAATCCTCATGATAGATACCTTTCCAAGGAGAAAAAGTCTGTAAAGGAAGAAGGAGAAAGAACTTTTTGCAAAGTTCAGAAAGGACTCGCAAAGACATAAAAGTCACATAATACTGGCACTGTATAAATGGTGTCTATGCTTTGCACACTGCAGGCAATATGGATTACTCCTTACAATTCATTAGAAATTAATTTCCATCTTCATAATTTCTGGCTGTGTTTCAGGCATTCGTGACAGATGGATTGGAGTGGTTTTCTTCAAAGACCACTGTTGCATGATGAACATGAATAAATCACTGAGTCCTGGTTCTCATATTGCCATAATCTTCTTACCTGTGATTTTAGAGAATAATGGCATTGCTGCTCTAGTGGAAAATCAGTCACTCTATATATCTGTGTACCAGAATTTTTTTTCTTTCTTATAGTGCCTATTTCTTCCTGTTATTTTTTTGGAGGCTTGGAGGATTTAGCATTCAAGTTCAGTACATATTGAATCTGTAATTTACATCCTGCTCATGAAATCAAAGCAATTGTTCAGATTTTCCCTGGTTTGTGTCCTTTTATTGCTAATACAAATTATTTGGTGGCTCTCAATTTTACATGCAATATTTTGTTAATATTTAATGAATCATTCACACCTGCATGCATCATTCACACCCACTGAAATTTCTGAGCACTGCAAAACTGGGTTTTGGTGTACCTCTGGAATGACCTGCATGGTATTTCTTTTGACTGGATAATTGCTGGTTTAAACATGAATGTGTTGACTGAGTTAAAATTAGATTTAGAGAGCAGTGTTCAGAGTATGTGTTTTCTGGTATGATATAATTATTATAGATGGGACGCACATGCATTATAGAAGAGACTGTATTGGTGACATTACTTTTGTTCTTAGTCTGATAAATAGCTCAGGTTCTATCTTAAAACTCCTCTCCTTTTTTCCCTGTGTTAGGCGAATTTACCCTCCTGATGATAAGACACTGCTTGAAAAGTATGACAGTTTGTTGGCCACTGCTTTCCAGACGTTTCTTGCTGGAAGAGCAGCTTCGCTTCAGCGGGAAATGAATAATCCTTTAAAAAGAATGAAGGTACAGAAGCACTTCAAGTATTGGCTTTAGAAGTTACTTATCTTTGAATTCACGACCTTGTGGTTTAGTTATAAATAGTATTTGATAACATTTCCATGATTTTATTATTATTCTTTGTGCAGCTTGTGGGCCAGATCCTTCAATCTGGATGAACTGCAGTGAACCCAGGGTGCAGACAGGCTAGATGGCTTTAAGCTACTTTACCATATCCCTGATCCTCAGCCTTACCCCTGGCCAGACCAGAGGTTGGCAGAAACTGCTTTTGAGCTGGGAATTGCCTCCTTCTTCCCTCCAGTAACATTCCCGGCCTATTCATCCACCTATACGGACTGGAACAAGAGATATCCTAAAACCAGCTCCACTAGTTAAAGGCATCCAAAAACTCTGCCTGTGTGCCTACTTATTTAGTCAGAGACAGTAAGAAAATGACTGTATTAATAACCAGTTAATGTGATTTAATTTAAAATCTGAGAAATTATTTTATATCTTTGTAGCTGGCATCATCCAGCAGTTTTACAGGAATCTTTGTTCAACCCTTTCTTCAGACTTTTATTTTTAATAAATGTTAAGACTTGATTTTAACTTTGAATTTCATTTTGCTTGCAAGGAGAGATGTATGCATGAGAAGAAATGCTTTTATTTCCTCCTGTGGAGGAATTCATACTCTTATTTCAGGAATTAGTAATCAGAGTAATTTCAAATTCCTACCACTTTCTGCTTGAATTTTGGAAGGACATAATATATCCTGCTTTGAATCAGTTTTAATGAAATTCCCATTTCTAGGAGGAGGACATTTTGGATCTTCTGGAGCAGTGTGAAATAGATGATGAAAAGCTAATGGGAAAATGCACCAGGCAGCGAGGACCTAAGGTATTTGACTTCTAGATACCAATTTTTTGTTTCACTCTGTAGACAGACAGAGTGGGAATTTTAAGTGGAGAATTTAGTTAGCTGATCCTGGGGGAAGTTTTCTTCTTCAGGCTGCCCCTAACTTTTTTCTTTAAGTATGGAGAGCAGCATCACTACCATTTGTCCAGCTAAACCCCATTAAAATTTTAAGTGTGAGATCCTTCTTTCCCTCTCTAAACTGTTTTGAGGAACTGCCATGCTTGGCAACTACTGTTGTACAAGAGATTTCTTGATTTCAGTGTGTGAAAGGATTTTTATATCAATAGCCTATCTCTGAAGAATGCTTTCATCTTTAATTGATTAGTGTCAAAATTAGGAATTTTGAGATCATGGGATAAAAGGCACTATGAAAGGTTGAAGAATTAATTATAATTTTAATATGTCTGTGGCTTCCTCACTTGCTAAAATAGTTGTACAGTGTATCTTGGAACCTGTTTTGTATCCAAAATTTGCTTTTAATGTGAATGTATATTATTTTTAGCTTAATGCTTTCTGATTATGTGCATAGTTCATGTGAGTCTTTGCCTTAAATAAACTGCATATCTCTGTAAGCCAGTAAAGATAAATAGTTGGAGCTTGGCTAAAATAAGTATGTTTTTTTATATCCTGCAAATATTTTAGGTCAAGTCTGCTTAGAAGAGCCTGCATCTATGTTCCTGATGGATTTGTTTATTGATGCATGTAAATTTTTTTACAGCATTTTGTGTTTCTGATGACTTGGTGCACAAATCTGTGAATTTAAGTACAAAATGAGTGCTGACAATTGTTCTGAGCTTGAAGAGGTACTTTAGATATGTCCAAGAATCCAAAGGGCTACATCTTATTACAGGCATGCATACTGGAAAGAGGATCTACATACCCAATCTGGTATTAAGACAGATTTGCAGGGACCTCATTACAAATATGGGGATTTTGTGAGCTAGTGCTTTAACAGCAATGGATTCATTTAAGGAAGAAAAAAAATCCAGTCCACCCAAGCAACACAGTCAATCCCCAGTCTTGAGGGATTCTTTTCCTGGAAGTTTTGTTTTCAGTTCTTTAACAGCGGGTCACTTAATTCGAGTTTAACGTCTCAGTCACGTTTTTTCCTTTTTCCAGGATCCTGTCTTTTCCCAGCAGCCCCTAGGGAGCATCTGCCTGTTTGTGTGCACACAGACTGGATCTGTTCTGCCTCTACGCTGCTTGCACACAAGCAGTTCCCAAGCTGGAGGCTGTAAACGTTTAAAAGGGTACTAAGCCCAAGTTGAGAAACCTCTCTCAATTAGTTTTAGGATGAATTTTGATTAATTATGAGTCAGAATATATGCCACAGTCTTCCTTTATAGCAAGCAAATGGACTGTGTAGCTTACAAGCTGCTCTACCAGTACAATATTGTTTGCACTTACAGGAGAAAGAAAACATCAAACATTGCTGATGACCAAAATTTCCATTTTTTTTTCTTTGTGATAAAATCAATAGAATCAAAAGGGAAAGCAATGAAACTAGGTATTCCAGGGAGATTGTTTCTTTTCCTTGCAGTGTGCACACTTCATGCTATACAGGATTCCTATTCCTGCATCGTTTTTGTGGTCCTGTCACACTTCTCCCTGGTTGTACAGTGTCCCCTCCCTTTGAAATACAGATGCCCATTCTGGATGGGCCTTGGGTCCTTTACTGAAAGAGTGGCACCTCTGTCCACATGGCCAATGATATGCATTTCATTGGCCACCTTTTTGTAAAGGGGATGCTTTGAGATATGTAGGCTCTAAATATTTATTATATAGAAATCTGGAGAGTGGGACAGGCGGTAGAATCTACTATTGCCTGTCAGTCTGTCAGGCAGGAGAATAATCCAGCTGTAAAACTCTATTTGTAACCATAAAATCCTACAAATAAAGAACTATTTGCATATTAAGAAAGTAACATATGCAAGTTCTAACATAAAAAACCCTAAACCAACCATGGGAAAGGTACTTTTCGTGTCATGTTATCCAACATGAAAAGTTCTTTTAGAAGGTCATAAAGTCTGTCCCCCCTTAAAATTCAGTAGCTGGCCTGCTGACAGAAGCTAGTGTTAGGAGGTCAGATGCACTGCCTTTTGTGCACTCTCTTCCTCAGAAAAAAGAACAGTCAGGAGGCAGAAAACTCTGTACAGAACAGCTGGAGTAGTTAGGGGAGACTTGTTTTCCTCCTCATCCTCCTCCATACATTGAAACGTTTATAAATATCTACATTTGCACATTCCTATCTATATATGAAGGGTGCAAGGGGTGTGTGTATAAACAACTGTTCCATAACTGCCAGGAATTCCAGCCTTATTTTTATTTGAACATGATTAGGAACTCCGTGTAGGAAAACAATCAAGAATTTCTCAGAATGAAGGCATTTTTTCCCTGCAATGAAAATGTTACTGAGTTTTGTGTAGATTGAGAAATACATTCTGGAAATGTCCAGCTTAGTTGTAGCCTCTAGAGGTCTCCTTACACCTGCACACTGCCAGGGTTCCCCGTGTATCACACTGTGCCTGTGTGTGGGATGAAGGGCTAAGGAAGTAAAAGAACAGCTATTAGAGAGCAAATGAGCAATTACTCTTATTTTTAATTTCTTTGCTATAAGATCAGATGAGTTTAATCACAGAAAAATCAGGTTAGCATAAGGGAAAAATCAAGATGATTAAACTTGCTAAGCAATCAAATTCTCTCTTACTTTAGGAGGTCAGTTTAAACACAGATCTAGCTATCATTTGTCCTTATTGCTTTTTGTAATTCTTTGACTTTTCTTTTTGTTCTTCTGTATTAATTTTGTGAAGTCCTGGTCAGGATGTTCTTAGTGTTTAGTGTAGAATGTGTGAGGAACATGTACATGATAAGTAGAAAGAGATCTACCTTAAAGCCCCCGTGAGTTTTGATTGAAAATGTTTATTATACCTTACATAACTCATCAGGAAGGTCTGATCAATGTATTTCTGTCATACACAGTATTTCATGATTAGGACAGCTGTTTTTAAGAAAGCAATAAGGCACACTTTGTCCTTTTGGCAGGTAGATAAATACATAGCAACATATTCTTTGTGTAACAGCAATTGTCAGGGCTCTCCTCAATGGAATATTCTTCCTTAACTTCTCTTTATCTTGTCTAACAGCTTGGGATTGCATATTCATGCTGCTATTTTTAGGTAGAAATCTCTTCCCTGCTTTGTCTAGAATGGAAGTTTAGGAAGCATATGTTTAGTTACAAAATGTATCTTGCAGCAACAGTATGTTTGGGGGCTTTCCTAATAAATCTAGGGTGCATTACATTATGCTAATACATTAGGAAAAATTAAATTCTTCCTGAGAGTTCTTCTATTTCACTCTGACTCAAAGTATATTCAGAAATTATGAAATTATTTTTTTTTTAAATCTGAGCTTTAATTGCAATCCATTAGATGACTAGGAAGATGTTGCCATCAGCACAGCTTCCCATAGCCTGAGAGTTAGTGGAAAGAAAATGTGTAGGAAAAGGTGACCAGTTAAATCTGCTTAGGATAGTAGAGGTAATAGAGGATACTGCATTTTTCATGTCTAACCGATGGCAGATGGAAGAAGGAAATTTTTCTTTGTAGTTTCTGTTCTTGCATTGGTTTCTCTGTCTCCTACTTTTTGATTTTTGTCTTGCAGTATCCTTGGAAGTAGCTCAGGATTCATTAGCTGATGACACTGAAACCCGTGTGCATCTGGGACACCAAAACACCCAGCACAGCTTTCTATATTCTTCCAGTTTCTGCTCTCTGTAGGATGTGGATTAATCACTTTCTTTTTCAGAAGTATAGCAGCCAAAGTTCCTTGGCATGTTTTTTTACTTCATGTTGATCATTGCTGAACTCCAACTTCAGTTGTTGCAAATATCAGTGAGGGACCTAAACTGATTGTAAATAATATTCTGTATCACTTGATTTACGATTTTGAACTGTAATTTACTGTGTCTGGTAGTGCAAGTCATACTTGAAATGAAATAATCCCCCCTGTCCCCCATTACTACATTATGCTGTTCTTCATGGGAGAAAGATTAGGATTACCGTGGAGTGAATTTAATAAAATATTTAAGGATTTATTCTAAAATATAGGACAAACTTCAATCTACCTTGGGAGGGTTTATAGCTGTGCAAATCCTGGCCGAACCTGCCTGAATCGGGTACTTTTCCCCCCCCCCCTTTTTCTTTAGCCCCTGTGTTCAATGCCAGAAAGTGCACATTCCTTAAGGAAAACCAAGAACCACGGCAGTGACTGCAGCTGTGACAGCGGTAGCTGCGTGTCAGAATCAGGAGAGGAAACTGAAAAGGAAGATCACAATGAAAAAAAAGAGAAAAAAGTTTCATATGATCTTGAAGAAAATAAATATAAAACTTCAGAACGATCAGGTAAGTTAAATCACTTTTCCAAGTAAGTCTGGCTTTGATGATGAATTATATGAAATTCTTCAGTATTTTAGAATGTATCAACATTTGTATCTTAGGAGTAAACACTGCTTTGCTTGTTTAATTTCCTTTAAAGTATTTTCTAAATTAATAGATGTAGCATGTTGTTTTTTTGTTTTAGTAGTATATTGTCTCAAAGAATTTCATAATGTAATTGCACATGTGTAGTACTGCTTCTAAAATTTTATTTTTCATAGCATTTGTTTAGCAGAAGACTGAGTTAAAATACTACAGCTATACAGGAGCAGACGAGGGATACCAGATCTGCAAATATGGGATGCATCGAGCAGATTTTCTCTCCTGTTTCCATATTCTTACGGTCAGGAATCCCCACACCGTAGTCACATACTTTTTGACCTACTGAGCACATGCCCTTTCTAATAAATCTTATGGATTTTATAGAGGACTGGAGTCTACTTGATTAAAGCTGAATATGGGGAAGAAATATATGTTCTTATAGAGTGTGGAAATTATGTCTTATTAGGGGATCTGATGTGACTGACTGCTACATTTCTAGTTATTCATCATACAGTGTAGCACGACGTATGTTCACGTGTTGATCGTATACGTTATTAGTTACAAATACTGAAAAATGGGCGTTAAGAGAATAAGTAATTACATCACTCATTTAATTTGTCTGCAGGGAGAATGAACTGGAAACCTTCCAATAAAAATGTAAAATCTCCATCGTATTCGTCCCCCACATCATCCACAGGTGCAATGAGGCGTTCTGTGAGCTGCCCTCGCTCCATATCAGTACTCACTGTGCAGTCACAGGCAGCTGAGCATCGGCCCTACTCAGCCAAAGCCTCTCTGCAAATGCAGCGCACCTCCTCGGTCAACAGGTCTCATTCCTTAAACCGTAGCCCATCTTCGGCCAGAGTCTCTCAGACAGCCACCTTGGGAACCATGAACTCTTCAGGGGTGAGTTAACCCAGCAGTTGCATTCAAAATGTGTTCCATTTCTCCTGAACTCAAGAAACATATTACTCATTTTCACCATGTCAGAAAGCCTGAGGTACTCTAGTTGAGGTTGGGAATATAAGATCTCCAGACCTGAATATGACTCAGGGTGAGTGCCAACTGTGATGTTTCAGTGTTCCTGGTGCAGCAACAGAGATGTTACATTTTGTGAGAATGGAAGCCTGAAGAGCTTTTGGGAATGGGCAACCCTCTTACTAAATAGTTTTTTGAAGACAGGAAGGGTCATTAACTCTCTCAAAAATTTTCTGTGATTTGTTTGGGGGCTTCTGGTTCTGAAATAAGGATGCTCCTACCTTCAAAATCTCTACAGTAACAAAAAACGTGTATAGTCCCAGGGTAAATATATTGAACCATAACAAAACATTAGTAAGACTTTGTATGGCTGTCCATTGTAGAAGGTGTAAACAATTTTCAACCTGTACCTGTTTTACATATGCTATACACTGCAGTAGACCTCTACTTCCAAAGTGAACAATTGAAAATTTATGTAGTGCTTGTTGTCTTCAGGATTTGCCACTGCAATAACTGGAAGTCATTTTCTTTCTTTAAAAGGGAAGATAAAAGCTTCTTTCATTTTGAAGCCTCTCCTTGAGACAGATAAGCAACTAGACTAAATACTTAATAATCAGATTAAACACTTCTGGGTGTTTAGAATTTGTGTGGTTAGTTACAATTTCACAATGTTTTTTGAACCATATATATTTTTTCATTTGTTACCTGACTGTCATCCTCTTTGGCATCTCCTTCACAGCCCAGGCGTTTCTTCTTTCGCGTTTGCATGGTGGACCCCATGTTCACTTCCCCCTAGGCAGTGTTTGTGGGATCAGCCCCAGCCTCACACTGCATGCTGGTGCCACCGCGTTTCCAGTCGTGCTTTTGATGCCTGACCTATGTGTTTCATCACCCACAAAATTCATCTGGAGATGGGGCAAAACAAATTGGCACTTTTAACCCATATTTGCAGCCTTTCTGTATTGTGGTGAGCTTTGATTGTGAGAAATCCTTTTGTAATGCTAATTAACTTGCTTTATAGTATTTACTATCTTTAATCATCATTTTTATCCAGTAGAGCACTCATTGTCTGTTTTGCCTGTGAGGCTTTGTCTTAATGATGAAAAAGGATCCTTTTAAAATTGTGTGCTGACATCTTGTGAAATACTCCTTAACACAGTTTTCCATCTTTAAAGTCAGTTAATAGAACTGGAAAGACATTAAGATTGTGTCTTCACAACAACGTGTTAAAGGTATTTTTTATCGCATTAGCTATCTCAAGTTTAAAAAGTACCCTTTTATCATCATGATGTACTCTGAGAGTTTAATGAGACAGGGCTAATATAGATTTTTCTATTCACATTAACTTTATATCAAATATAAATTACTGAAAGATTAAGAGCAGTCTCTTACCAGCTGACATTAAAAATGAGCTACTCGCTTAAATTAACATTAGTAAGAAACCATACTCTCTTTTTCATTGAGAAAGCTCCACCACAGAAATGATCTTGATATGCAGAACAATTACGTTGGGTGATAGAGCTTAGGTCATACTTCCTAAAAATAATGTTAATAAAATTACTTACAGAATGGATAAGAACTACTCGTAATTTAGCACTGTATTCTGAATGGAACTCTGTTCATAATTATTTTTGCAACTAAGAATAATATAATATATATTACTGCTAGAATAAAATTAAAATTGATAAACTGTGACTTCCTAAAAAGAAATCATTTGTGCATGATAAAGTTTTAGTTTATCTATCTTTTGGGCAAAAAAAGAGCAGTGTATTGCCATTTTTGGAGGCTGCTGAGATCCAAACGTTCTAAAGATATGGAAACAAAGCTCAGAAGAAGCCATTTACAGTTGGAAATTACAGACATGTTATTATAGCAGTTATAAACAGAAGTGGATTTGGAACTATTTACTATCTATTTCAGCCATAATAATATGTATCAAATGGCAGGGTATTTTTTTGTACTTGGAAATATGTATTCGTTGCTTAAGCAAAAATATGCTTAAGTATTGTAGTTTTTACAAGATATAGAGATTTAGAAATGCCTAAAAATTTAGAATTTCATCTGTCAGATGAAATTACTGACCAAGACTGGAGCAAAGTGTCCTTACTTTTTAATGCTTCCTGAAATCTTGGCTTAATGATATGGCCAGTTTCTGTTCAATTGCTGAAGTCAAGAACTGAAAGGATGATTTTTGTGACTAATAACATTTTTTTTTATGTTGAATTTAAATTCAAAGTCTGTTATGTAAATTTCAAATTTATATTTTAAATTGTGTGCACCATAAATATTGAATATGTATTTGTGGGGTTTTTTTCAAACAAACTTACATTGGAACTGTTTTTCTTGAATTTCTTGACAACTCTAAGTAATAGTGATTAATGTAGGAGACACGTGTGTATATTAGTTAGATAATATGTCTATAAATTTAAAGAGTATATTTTTTATCACCCTATTTATAATTTTTTTGATCAAGCAAACATCTCTATAATGATACTCTTGAAATTTTCCCTCTGCTTCGTATTGGTTTTTAGAGTGAGTCTTTGCTACAACAGAAAACAAGAGAGCAAGAGGCTGCTTTGACAAAAGAGACTCTTCTCTTAATCAGTGACATGAGAATCAAGTTCCCAGGAAAATCAGATGAAGAATCTGAATTAATTATAGAAGATGTAAGTATCTATAAATAAGAAAAAAGAACAGGCTAGACACTGTTTAAACCACTGAAATGAAGGAAAGTAAAAAGCTGAGTCCACAATTCATGAGCTCCTTTGGCCTTAAAACTTCCAAAACTTAAGATAATTTAGAAGATTTTGGAAGTTTGGAGCTTTGCATACTTTGTGACTTTAAAAGAGCACCACTGAAAGCATTCCTATGTCCCCATAAAATATATGAGAAACAATCAGGAAGGTTAGAAAAATTCAGTTTTTCATTGTGGAGAAAGTTAAGACTTTTAAGTAAGCCAAGAAGAATGTCACAATTAATATTTCATCTGATATTGTTAAAACAGATCCTGACTTGTTTGACTTGCTGTCAGATATGCAGAGCAGAGAACTCAGACTGGTATGTGCAAGGCAGACTGCAAGTTTGCTGGTCATGAAGAACACCAGTCACACACCTTTTGGCTCTTCCAGTCTAGCAGCTTAGTCTTTCTCACATCCAACATGGTCCTGAGCCTCGTAGTTTATCAAAGACATGTGAAACAATGCCCAACTAAAGGTCAATTGAACCCCAATATTAAGATCTATAAGCAGAAATTACATGCTATCTCAATCCCTTTTAAATATTTAGCGCAAAGAAGCTAACACCAGGTTGGAAATGAAAAAAAATCAAGATAGAAGTTCTTCTCTCAGTTTAGAAGAAATATGAAAGGATCTAGTAATTTAAATTAGCACCTGTGTCCTGATGTATTAAGCACAGCCCATGGTGACTCATTCATCTGATTCGTTATCTGGCCCGAAGACTCCTTTGCTCTGAGAGCTTTCAAAATGTTGAAAACATCAACAAACTACATCAGAGTGGAAAGGAATTCTCCTGTAATGATGGTTGATTTGTGTGATGCTGGAAGATAACATTCATAACCAGTAGACTGGGTTTCTTATCTTCGAAGCAGAACTAAAATGCTGCATTAAGTTTTCCTTTGGACTCAGGAGGGAGTGTGTGTGCATTCCTGTACCGATGGGAGTGTGTGCTCTATCCAGTGGTGCTTCCTCACACACCCTTCGCATGCTTAGAAAACGCACTTTCCTATGGCAAAATTCCTTTATAAATTCCTCTGGTCTTAACCATTCCTGATGGGAAATAACATCTCATCATGGAAGGAAACAGGTAATGGTTTATCGGTTGTCTGTGAGGCAGAACTTGTTGGAGGTCTGGAATGGAACAGAAATTAAAAACAACAAAATGAAAATAAAAGTGTATGTTTGCAGCTTGAGCTTTTTTGGTAGTGCTTAGACATTGTAAAAGGAGAGCACTGCAGTTGATCTATAACAGTTTATAGAAAAGATGTTTTCCAGCTAACACCCAGTGTCCCTTACACAACAACCCCCTCACTATTTAAACAGGTGAGCAGTTGTGCATCACTGAACTCACTGCTGTGTTCAAGGAATCTGGGCCAAGCCAGTCAAGACAAGTTTCCAACTGCTTTGTAGCATGTGGTTGTCTGAATTGGGTAGAAGAGAGGGCAGGATTAAACTCAAACATTGCACATGTCTTTGCAAACCTTCCCCCACATAGATTTGCAAATATTTTTCAATTGGCTTTAGAGAAAACTTCTTCACATGTGGTCTTTTAGATGCTGACATTTTTAAGCGTTAGGAATGCTCATGGATGAAATACCAGCTTTTGGTTGGTTTTTCTGTATTTTTTATCTTGTATTTTACAATGATTACAGATTATGGATAATTGGAAGTATCACAAACCAAAAGTATCATTCTATTGGTTGGTAAAACTGGATCCAGCAAAGCAACGAAAAGTAAGTGCCGTATTTCATTTGCTGAAGGTGAACTGAAGTAGATGCATAGCAGTGTTTCTACTGGTGTTACAGTAGCTGGGAGTGACTTGAGATGCTGAAATCCTGGCTCTTGATACTAACATATATATGAATTAATTCTATTGCAGGAAATTGTATTGCTCCATATTTGGAAAAGCATGATTATCCTGGATTATAATTTAAAAACCAATTTCTTAAAAACTTAATCTGCTGAAAGAAAAGGAAACAAATAAATGATTAGTAGCTTAAATACCTAATTTTATCTAACATTCTTAGAAGTGTATTGACTCAGGAGATTTGATTTGTAAGGGCTAAAACAGTCAGCAGTTTCAGACTAGGCATGTTAAAACTTCATCAGAGTTAGTGATATTGCACTTGGCTATTTGAGTTTTTGACCCACAGTACTGGAATAGATTATATTGAATAAAAAATGGACCTGCCAAGCCAAGAATTTTCTCCTTCAGGCATTATTTCAGAAAGCCTACAATAAAGGGAGGTTCTCCCCTGCATTTGACTGGCAGTCATGTTAAACCAGGGGTACCTGTAGGAAGTCAGGATGATACAGATTGATCCAGGTTGTTATTCCCAAAGACTGCACAACCAGAAATGTGGACTTTTTGCTCTTCTTGTGAGGATATCTTTTACAACTTGGGAGACTTATAATTCCTGAAGCACTAGCGAGCCCTTCATCTTTGCTCGCACTGGAAATGATTTGATTTTTTTTTAACTGCTTTTAACCTCAATCCCTTCAAGCAATCAGACAGTTATTCTTAGAAGGGTAGTTTATAAAAACGGATTAACTTTGACAATGACATTGCAGCTGAGGACTGCCAAATGTCTTTTGTTGATTTGAAAGAAGTATGTTTTATATTCCAATGAGGTGGGTGAAGGAGAAATGAGCACAAGGTGGAGAATATTTATGTAAGTAAGGAATCTGTCTCAAAGGTACCTTTCCACAACTTTGTGAAATACAAACCAGAATCTCAGTCCCCTTCACTAGGCTTACTGGGAAATTCTAACACACAAAAAGAAAATATCTGGGCAATGTACTAGATTTCACAGTGTTCATCCCTGACAGCTGCATTTGCTTAACAATTATTGAACATGGTGTAGAAAAATTAAACTTCTGCTCATATTCTTAGTGTGTAATATTCAAGCATTACAGCACAGGAACAGGAGGCATTCAGAAGCAAGTTGAGAGTAAAACAATTCAATCAATGCATGCTAAGAAAAAAAATGTAACCTCTAAGACTTTCAAGAAAAAGAGACTTTTGGGGTTGGGGGGTTTATGACTGCTTCATGTTACATCACTTTACATATTTTTTTTAGAAGTGTTTTGATGCTTACCAGAGGGTTTTGAATATGTTCTTTCTTAACATCTTGTTCTGTTACACCTAGATAATTGCTTTTGTTAAAGTAAATGTTGTAAATTAAAGTAAACAGAAAGATGAAGACAAGCTAGGGAAATTAACTTAGAAAAGTGAAGGTGTAGGTTTCATGAAGTTCCAGCCCTTGTGCAATGCCTTGTCTCTTTTCTTAAATGGATGATTGAGGCCATGTTTGCAAATTAAGGATAATTAACTGGTACATTTCCTGCTCTGGCATATTGACAGAAACAAAGAAAAGTAGTGGGTTTTTTTTCCAGAGTACCTGGCAGTCTGTGGCTTGCTCTAAGATACCCAGTTCTTAGTTTTCTGCAACTCCAGGTGCTAAAGAAAAAGCTCTACGCTGGCATCACTGTTCTTAGCTCATGTAGACTGGACTAGTGAGAGACGCTGAACTGGGTGGAATTGCTCTGTTCCACCCAGACAGGTAAATTACCACTAGTCAGTGTAACATTGCAAAGAAATACATGGTTGATCCTTATGTAATTAGGGACTGACTTAGTTTAAATGGATGTACACAACCACAGATACCTGCCATTTGTGTGGAAAAGCCTTAGACAGGTGAGACACAAGGAAAAGTGCCTGAGAAGCATGAAGACAATAGGCTAATGCTGCTAAGGAAGTGTCTGAAAATCTGGACCCGTTCCACAGACATGGGCAATCCAAAACCTGGGTTTAGCTCCTGCTGTCACTAAAAAAAGATAAGCATCCTTAGGTTATAGTTTCTTTCACTTTCTATCTCACTCTTTGGGAGGAGGAGACCATGGGTGTGAATTTTTTGTGGGCTAGACACCTGCATACACAAAGATTCCCAGCAGAGATGACAGTATTGTATCTGCACTGGATTATTATGTGCATGGAATTAGTGCAAGACCTATGCATGCAAACTAATTCTAGGTCTTCAAAAAGAGCTTAAATAACATGGAAAACCTATGTTTCATCAAGGCCAACATTATTAGGTATCTATAGATTTTCTGCCCATGAGGCACTGCTACGCAGCTTCCTTGTGCTTTTGCAAGCATTTTATTTATTTATGCTTTGTTTCCTTCATGGTGTCCTATCAGGCTATTTATAAACAAGTTTGTTATGCAGGACCAAAAAATTGCAATTCTACACCATGCTTCCATACTTTATTGTTCTACTAAATCTCTTTCACCTTTTGAGAGACCCGTTTTACCATGTGAATCAGTTTGTCATCCATAACTGGAAGCTTCCTGGGAAAGCATTGTACCTTCTCATTTACAAAGCCCTATATCAAATCAATAAATACCTCCATCTGTTTACTGCTCACTGGGGGCTGACTGTTTTTGGAAGATGCTGTTAGGCACGAGAGGCAGAGAGGCTGTTTCCTTTAGAGGACATTATGGTGATTTAACTGACTTTTTGTTACATGCACCGTAGGCTTTGTTATAGCACAGGTTGGACACTGTGCAGAGTGCCAGTGTCAGGCCTGAACACTACTTTGGTCACAAAACTATTCCCAGACTTATTGATGGTATCTCAATAGACAGAATCCACGACACTCTGGAACCTGTTTTTCTCCAGGGGTTGGGAAGGGAGCACAGGGGCCTGACTTAAGAGAAAATCCAGCTGTTTAAAAGCAGGCGAGGTGAATCCCAGCTTCCTTCCACGCCTCAGTTCAGGGGGATGGGCAAAGGTGTATCCAAGAGGACTGATGAGCAGATGTGCAGCTGCCTCAGTGTCTGTGCTGGATGGAATGCAGCTCAGCCTTGTCTTCTCCCACATCTTCATGTACTTACATTTAAAGGTAGTCTGTGTATAATAAAGTCATGACATTTCTATAAACGATGTTATTTTAAATATCTTGCTGATCATTTTCTCACTTGCTGATTTTACTACACTGTCTCCTACCAGGTAAACTAATATGGTTTGATCCAGAGTAACACTGAGGAGTTTGTAGCTCTTCAGGACATTTTAGTTCTTTGTAAAATAGATGATATTTTAAAAAGGGGGTGAGAAAAGAAGACATATAATATTTGGGTTGTTAGTTAAGTTGCTTCTAGTCTGTAATTGTGTCCATTTTGTTTCTTTCTAAACTCTTTTTGGCATTTAAATGAACTAGTATTGAACAGACTGGAAAAATAGAAATGAACTTTTCTGTAATAAAAATAAAATATTTTGATTTGGCTTTGCAAAATGTTATTGACAGAAAAAGCATATAATAAAATTTGCTGATGAATGCCCAGAAATGGAACAGACATCTGTGGGAATGGATAGCTCGTCTGTGTGTGTGTGCAGTCAGTCAGCCAGCAGTGGGGTTTCAGTTCTGCAATATGCCTTTGTTTTGATTTACTTGGAATACTCTTTCCTAGGTTTTGGATATAGTCAGGACAAGTGTTCGTGCGGTTCTCCAGCATGTCTGGAAAGCTCCAGACATCGAAAGTTTGCATCTGTACCGTCTTTTTGAGCGTGTATTTAATCGCTTACTTTGGAGCCGCGGCCAAGGCCTGTGGAACTGTTTCGGTAATTCAAGGTAAGCCTCTTTGTCTTTTCTGAGCCCTCTTCATAACTTCACCTTTACAGTCAGTGCTGGCACACTCTCTTGCTCATTTTCATTCCAGAGAATACTGTAATAGTAGAGTTAAATCTAATAATCTAGGCCAACCTTTTCAGAAGTGGAATCCAATACTTAGTTATATAATTACAAATATAATAATCTAGGGAAAATAATCTAATTGTCAAAATATCTGAGCCCTAAGTCAACTCTTCCATGGGATGGTGCATGATTTTCAGGCCAGACCACTGTGTCAAACATGGACTTGCCATCAACAGAAATCATTGTTATATTTGAGCTCCAAACTTAGACGGGGAGAATTCAGTCACAAGTGCATCTGATGTCTCATGCCAAATGCAATGTCACTTCTGTGATTTACAGTGAGTTCAAATTTATGTGCTTGATTACATTTCCTGTTTCCCATACTGGTGGAAGCCCAAGTACATGCAGAATATGAAGTGTTCTCATTGAGGTAAGCAGGTGGTTTTGGTTTGGGTGGCAAATACAAGTTTTCTATGGGGAAAAAAGATCAGGCCATATAAGTTCAATAATCTACACTTCAGAATCTACATTCCTGAAATCAAAGGCATTCATGTAAAGGGGGATCTGGGGGATCATATCATGGGTATAAAACAATCCCACCCACCCACCAAATTTCTTCATAAAGTAAGAATACAAATGTTTAAATATGAAATATATTGCATACAAAAAGGGACATTTTCTCTGTCAGTATATGAGATGTATAAAGAAAGGGGTTTTGATCAGCTTGCATAGGGTGTTCTAAAAGGTGTATTGAAAATGAGCTACAACAACCAATAGTCTGCTGGTGGGTTCTGTGTGTACAAAGGAATCAAGTCAATAGGTTGTCCACATACAGTCATTTGTCATATGTGGAGAATGCATGCAGTACCCAGTTGTTACCCCCAAAATGGATAACAACAAGAGGGATCTGAGGGATCTAAAAGATCAGCATGATTTTTACCATCATCTCAATGCCAAAGGCTTGTTGTTGTGCAACATTTTTTTCACTGAGATGAGCTATTGGAAAATGCAGATAATGTCGGCCTTAAGATTTGCACAGGTGGGTATTGGGAATGCAGCACACTCCAAAAGTTAAATTAGGGTTAGAAAAGGTTTCTGTTTCTGGTCTGAAGCTTTTGTTTTTGTATAATCCTCAGCAGCTGCTGGATCCCTTCTTCATGCTAGCAGAGGTGTGTGAAGTCTTGAGTCCAAGCTCAATTCTTTTGTTGTTATAAAATATTGTAATTACCTTCCTTTTTAATAATACTGTTACTATTCTGTATTTTATTTTTAGCATGCAAATCTTCTAATGTGCATAAAAACATTCATTTTAGATTCTTTTTCTCTGCAAAGACTAGTTTACCTTTGAACAACTCTGCTGCTCACTTGACTTGGGATAAGTTTGAGCCAGCAGAAGAGTTCAGGGGAGGCTAGGATTTTTTGTTCATGCAGAACAAGACTCAGCTGACTCCAAATTGGAGCTATTCTTTGGCAAAGATCCATTTCCTTGTAGGAGGAGTTGCTATGTAAAAGATTAAAAAAAAAAAAAAGTAATATACAAATATCCAGTAGGTGCAGAGATCACTCTGCATGTAATATACTTAGTACAGAATTCATGGAAGAAAACAAAAAGGCTGTTTGCACCTTCCCAGTATGTTGTTTATTCAGTTGCAAGCATCCTTCTTGCCATGGAATGCACAGCTGAGAACTCATGACAGCACCTCTGCAGCAGAGAGGCCAACTTCTCACTCTTCCCTATGGTACCATCTTAAAGAACAGACTGGGATAAACATAGGCCATGTGTAGGATTTGGGAAAACACATTGGGAAGGGGTATTAGTGTGCTGATTCAGAAACAGAATGATTACAAGAAAATATATTAAGCAATGCAATATGTTAACTATTCATAAGATATATGTCTTGAGAGAAGAGAGGAGCTAATAGCCTTAAGGTTTACTTTTGGTGGTTAAATCTCTGCTTGCTATGTGCTATTTTAGTAAAAGGAATGAAAGATGAAAATCTCAGGGAAAAAAAGGGATGTAAATGGTTTCATAAAGCTACATTTGTTTTAGTGTATAATAAACAATTAAAACTCATAAGACAAATTGTTGACTTCAGATGGTTATAAAAAGAATAACACATAATTGACCATATTGAACATAATTGACCATATTGCACAATCAAGTATACTAGTCTTTTTTTTGATCTGGTGAGGACTCCATGATTTCTTACTGAAGTGTGGAAACTAAAGTTACAGCACAAGAAATAAAGTTTCCTTAGGAAACAGTACTCTGATCCCTGCTGACTGCAGTATAATGGAGAATAAACTGAATGTGTGTAGCACATGGAGGAGGTTGCACAGGCACATTTATAAGGAAGCTCATTAAAATTCCCATGTATGTTTCCAGATCTCAGCCCTTGTTATTGGGGTAACAGAATAGCACTGTCCTCTTGGTCTGCCACTGTTTGTGTTAAATTGTATAGACCTTTCTGTGCACAGGCAAGGTCATGCTTTTTCTCTTGTTCCTCTGTTGTTAAATCTGATATAAAGCAGTAAAGCTCTTAGATTGCAATCTGTGACAGAAAACATGAGTTTGTGTCTTTTTCCATAACAGGAGCTCTTGGGAAACCATATTCAGTAAAAGCACAGAGGTGGTGACTCCTGAGCAACTCCAGTGTTGCCGACGAATAGTACAGCTTTGTAAACGCTGCCTGCTGGTGGTTTACAAATACTCATCAGAATCAAGAGGATCCCCAACGGGGATTAGCCACCACTGGGATGATACAAGGTATAAATTGGAATATTATAAGTATAATGGATAGTATTGGAACAGGTTTCAGTCTGTGTTGCTGCCACTACACTTTTCTTTAAGCCTGGTTTGCTCTGTATTTAAGGAAACAAAAAAGCGAACTCCCCAGCATTTCCCTTGATCCTGGGTCTCAATCATTCCAGTCTCACTAGCCCATTTACGAAGTGCTACCAAAGGAAGATTTGATATACAGATCTTGAGTGAAAGTGCACTTATTAAACTCTTGATTGCCTACTGCCTAATTAGCTGCAGCAAAGGCTTTCCATAAAGTGAACTGAAAATTTCCTTTCTTCCCCTTCTCAGATCCCTCAAAGTCACTGTTTCCAGATTTGCATTCCTAGAGGTATCCTAGCATGTCAGATACTTGTGGCTTCACATTCGCAGTGGGATGCTGTAGGGGCACAGCTCCAGCCAAGGGTCAGGTAAGTGCCATCTGATTTACTGCATTGCACAGTTTGGCAAAGCCCATTTCCAAAACCTATAGGCTGAAAGTTTTATTATTTCATCTTACAGAGCATAAAGGTATTTTCAAACCTTGCAAAACAGCATCATATAGTAAAAGAATTATTTGGCACTTACCCGATTCTCCAGTGGCTGGTTTAGTTCTCCAACTGGATGCAATAGGGATTATAATATTGTCAGTACAAGGATTACTGGAAATGCTCCAACTGTGGAAGTCAACGATTTGGGATTTAACAGTCATAGGTTGTAGGAGAATTAAATATCAGTTTCAAATTACTTAGGTTCTAAATTCTATCCATAATGGCAATTTTAATTATTGTGCATATAAACTTACAAATGCTTTGTTTATGTAAAATATCTTACATCTATCATTTCACAGAAGGGCTTTATGATTTAAACACTATGTGAAAAGCAAACTTTTGATATATTATCTGTTAAACTTATTTTATGGCTTAATTGCTTACTTGATATATCTCAGATTAGTTATTTGATACACTGAACCCATTTGTTATTGACATGTGGATCTCAAGACACTCTAACTTAATGTAAAACCAATCAGAAACTGGATTTGTTTGGTCACAGCAAAAGTAGAAGTATGTTAGCCACAAACCAAATCATATTCAATATTAACGTCTATTCAGCTATAGCAGGAGTATGGTAAAGTCATTTGGATGAGCTAAGACTAGAAAATCTTCAACCTTGAAGTTTTTATTGCTTTCACTGTCAGTACTGCAGAAACTCTTCCATCATGACCAACCACAAACTATTCCAACTGATCCGATTACTCTGATGTACTGCAGCCAACAGGCTTGCATTTGGACAGCAGTGAAAGGGATGGTCCAAGACAACTTTCTTGTCCCCAGTTTCTGTGTTTCTTTGGATGCTGAAGGGAAGTTTATTCCTAAATTTCACAAGCTAGAAGAATTTAAGCCCTTTATATATGAAGTGTCAGTAATGGAGTGTCATGACAACTCTGATCACAGTTACAGTTTTTATATTAGTCTCCACAAATGTTTCATCTATACCTGGATACAGCAATATGCCAGGTAACTGATATTCTCAATTTGTGAAGTGAAAGATACATATGGAAATAAATGCTTTCACCTGTTATGGTCCACAATCGTAAGGTAATGGAATATTTTTCTAGAAATGGGAAAACCACAATACTATTTCACTTAGCTTTCTGTTTTTAATGCATCTGCACTGGTAATAATAGTTTTCTTGACTTGCCATAAAGTTGTATGGTGCAAGAAAAGATCAGAGTATAATTTAATAAATGTATGAGAAGTCAATTTTTTCAACACTTTATAAAATTTAATTTGAAGAACTTTGTTTTTTCTGAGCACAAACCAATTTTTTACTTTGCTTGTGATTAAGAAACAAAGTATGTGAAACTAAAGCTTTCAAATATTACAAATAGATACCTCTTTAGCTGAGAAAATTGATTTGTATAGGGAGAAAGAAAAAGATAATGAAAACTGAGAACAAATTAAATTTATTCTCAATCCTCTTAACTGTATGTCATGAAGAATACAATGTTCCTGAGTAAGAGCAGCGAAATGTTTATTAATGACACTTTTTTAATCACAAATTAAAAGTCTAAATAAAACGATAGGAGAGCTCAAAAATATGCAAAAATCTCTTAAAAAATTAGCTAAAATCTCTTAAAAATTAGCTAAAATCAAACTGTATACAAAGTCAGACCTTTAATATTTACATAAATTCACCTGTGTTGTAAAATTAAAAAAAACCTAAACCATCTACTGCTACATCCTTACATCTTGTTAAGTGATCTTATCTGTTACATGGCAAGTAATCCTGGGCAGTATTGGAGTTTTTTACTCTATCATTGGCCAAAGGCAGGACTCAGTCTGGTGATGTAATGAACTATCAAGCTCAACACCAACCCATTTCAAACCTGACTTTATTTTTTTGCAAATTGTTTCAAAATATCAGTGATAATATTTTATAACAAAACGTTTTCTCAAGCTTAAGCAAACCTCATGTGTGGTGCTTTGACACTGTGGTGCTGTTTCTGTCTGTGTGATGAGTCTTTTAACTTATTCATCATTAGCCAATATGATTCACTACAACTGTACAATAATTTTTCAGCAATGATTTATACAATGGGTTGTGTTAATCCTTCCTAACACTGACATAATTAAATGTGAATTCTAATTTAGTATGGATTTTTTTTGCACACTTAACTGTGCTCATTTAATGACTTGTACAATTAGGTAATTGTACCATGAAAATATTTAAGAATTAATATTAAGCATATGATAAACTATTGTTTGTAGTATTATACAAAATACAAGCTATACAGTTGCCTGAGTTGAAAAGATAAATAGTCACTGATGTGAATTACTAGGTGTAGCATCATTTCTTCCTTTACAAGAGTAGTGATGATAACATCTCTATTTTTAGAGAATTAGAGCTGGAAACCAAAGCTGAAAATCTAATTTTCTTCTCTAATAATTTTTCTTTTTTACAACTTAACTTTTTATAAGCTGTTTAATGCCACTTGCAGTTTTTGCCTAGTTTAAGTTAAATAAATAGTACTATAATAACAGAGACCAATGGTCGAAGTTTTAATTTTTGGTAGTACTGTTACACAGGGTTTCATTGTTTATTTATTAGATGGCTTGAAACATAAAGGACTAGAAAGCTGTTTGGTCCTCATACAACATTTTGAAATTTTGCTAAGAGTTTCTCGGAGTTTAGATTCCTTTTCTGAGTTAGCTTGTGCCTATTGCCCTATTTTATAAATAGTATTTACTGCACCCAGTTTCTTGCATACAACAGTTATAAGGTATGGCGCATAAACATTAATTCTTTTGCTCTTGAATATTGGTTTGTCTGTAAACTCTGCTATATTTTTCATATCCTTTCTAGGTATTTATTGCCAGGACCTTCACTGTTCATCCTGAAATCATCCTCATCCAAACTTAGCTGCAGTTCATCTGGAATGCCTCGCCCTAACATTTTGTTCACACACAGATACAGTCACTTGTGAAGTGAAAGGAAAGTTGCTGTTTGTAAATAATAGCACCAATATTTTTTTTTCAGTTTAAAATTTGTGATGAAGCTAAATATAAACACTGTTATATATTTCCTACTATCATATTATAATAAAATTTAGCTTAAAACCTACTGTAAAAGCATAGCTTTTCTGGGAACATACTAAATCTTGTTGTTTACATACACATGTGAATGTGTAGATCTTGCTAGGTTTATAAGTAATTCCTTCCTACTAGAAATGTTATTTTTGCTGCAGAATATATAAAATGGAATTGATCTTGAAGATTCTATTACAGTATTACATTATTTTGTAAGTACAATACTTTGACTTGAAAATTATTTATTGTAAACTATATTATTTATTGTCTCAAATGTAATTGATCCTTTAACAAGGTAGATAATTGAAAACTCTAATAGAACAGTAAAACTGTAACAGTTATCAAAAATAATCTGATCAGTTCTTGGACATGTTTAAAATAAAAGCCAAAACTCTGCAAGCCAAACCTAAAGCAGACATATTTTTATTTCTCCTCTGAAATGACAAGATTATTTAATGCTGCTATTTTTCTTAAAAGACATAATATAGTATCTCTTAGCCAAAGCAAAGGCATCTAGTAGACAAACAGTAAAACATCAGTAAAAGCGTTCACTTTCTAACTGGATTATTGTAATAAAATGGAAGCCAACGTTTGTTTCCAGGTTTTTGTTCACATTACCTATACCCTGTGCCTTTAGGTTTCCTTTGGGAGCAAGAAGTCACCTTCAGCTTGCACAAGCATGCATAGTGCAAGTGGTAAAGCAGACATTGTAGGAAATACTGCAGCTGTAATGTATTGTTTCAAACTTAAACTAATTGGTTTGTTGTAGTTTTTAGCATGCAATCCAGTACCTACTGTAGAATGCATCCTTGCAATGGACGGTGTTTTCCAGATTGCTGACACCGTCACACGTTGGAAACCGAGTTCATTTGAAAGCTCTCGTTCAGCCCCAGCCTCCTGGGGCTGGCTGAAGGGCACAAAAATAAACCAAGCCAGAGCAGGAACCTCGTATTAGCAGGATTTGTACCCTGAAAACATCATTCAGGTTTTGCTACATACAGCCATTCATCCCACTCAGCATTGTGTCACGTGAGCCTTATTCATTATAGAAATAATTATTAAAAAATCAGTTAATCTAGATTTAAAAATTGTTTCTTAACTGAGTAAAGAACAGAGTAATTATTATTTACCAAAGACTTGTGTACTTATCAATTGTTTAACCCTGATATGTGTTTGTAAATTATTGATGTATTTCAGGTATACTTAAAAAAGTAATTTGGGGGCTACTTATCCTCAGGAGCAAGTATGTTAATAGTTTTTGATATCCAGCAATTTAAGAGAAATTTAAGAGACTAAAGGAATTTGAGATTGACGTTGTATGGAAATGTGTTGGGTTTGTTTTTATTTTTTAATTTTAGTCATAGGATAAATAGAACTGGGAATTTGGGTGAGATTTTTGATGCCTGTGCTGTAGTGCCTCAGCTCTAGAACTGCAGAATATATGATAACAAGACTATTTGTAAACAATTAAAAAACCTTCTTGAGATTAACCAGATAAAAGCATTCTTTTCGTCTGGTAAAGTCTTTTTAATTTTTGTGGTAATATTAGTTCATTAATATAACATGTTCACATTAATGGTATATCTCTTTTGGTCCATACAGTGACTATGAATGCCTACTGTGGTTAACTGTAAGACCTAATAAAAGCTGTAAATTTTCTCTTCTTGGAGAAGGCTTCCATTGTATTCTACTTTTGGCCATAAGGATGAGATCAGCTTCCAGTTTAGCTTCCCAGACTCAAACAGAGCTTTAGGTAGGAGGTTCATATGTCTTTTTATTTTTTAAATTTCATTGTGATTTCTCAAATTTCTCAAATGCCAGTGCTGGGCCAAGTCAGTCTATACAGAATACTCTACCAAAGGAAAGAGGGCTACTAATCATACCTATGCAGTATGGCCAGATTTAGGAAAAAAATACATTTAGCATGTACAAAAGTGGAACAGACAGTGCTTTACGTCTGACATTACTTAATATATTTGTGTTTCTGATAACCTTTCCTGAAGTGGTACTGTGTTCCTACTAATGTGTGAATTAATACCTTCAATAAACACCCTGCTCCGCTTTGCTGCCAGCTCCTCAGAGCCAGTGCGTGTGGTCTGCGGGCGAATGACAGGCTGCACCTGTAGCCCAGACCCAGGTGGCGCCACAGGTGGAAGCGTTTACCCCTTTCCTCTGCATTCCCTCTGATCAGATGGGTGGGCCTGGCGCCCCGCAGGTGCGCGCGGCCCGGCAGGTGTGCTGTGCCCGGCAGGTGTTCTGCATGCGGCCCGGCAGGTGTGCTGTGCCCGGCAGGTGTGCTGTGCCCCTCAGGTGTGCTGTGCCCGTCAGGTGTGCTGTGCCCGGCAGGTGCGCGCGCCCGGCAGGTGTGCTGTGCCCCGCAGGTGTGCTGTGCCCGGCAGGTGTGCTGTGCCCCGCAGGTGTGCGGTGCCCGGCAGGTGTGCTGTGCCCGGCAGGTGCGCCTGGCAGGTGTGCTGTGCCCCGTAGGTGTGCTGTGCCCCTCAGGTGTGCTGTGCCCCGTAGGTGTGCTGTGCCCCTCAGGTGTGCTGTGCCCGGCAGGTGTGCTGTGCCCCTCAGGTGTGCTGTGCCCCGCAGGAGTGCTGTGCCCGGCAGGTGTGCTGTGCCCGGCAGGTGTGCTGTGCCCGGCAGGTGTGCTGTGCCCCTCAGGTGTGCGGTGCCCCTCAGGAGTGCTGTGCCCCGCAGGAGTGCTGTGCCCCGCAGGTGTGCGGTGCCCGGCAGGTGTGCTGTGCCCCGCAGGTGTGCTGTGCCCCTCAGGTGTGCTGTGCCCGGCAGGTGTGCTGTGCCCCTCAGGTGTGCTGTGCCCGGCAGGTGTGCTGTGCCCCGCAGGTGTGCTGTGCCCGGCAGGTGCGCGCGCGACCCGGCAGGTGTGCTGTGCCCGGCAGGTGTGCTGTGCCCGGCAGGTGTGCTGTGCCCCTCAGGTGTGCTGTGCCCGCAGGTGTGCTATGCCCGGCAGGTGTGCTGTGCCCCGCAGGTGTGCGGTGCCCGGCAGGTGTGCTGTGCCCCTCAGGTGTGCTGTGCCCCGCAGGAGTGCTGTGCCCCAGTGCTGGCCCTCAGGTGCTGTGCCCCGCAGGAGTGCTGTGCCCCTCAGGTGTGCTGTGCCCCGCAGGTGTGCTGTGCCCGGCAGGTGTGCTGTGCCCGTCAGGTGTGCTGTGCCCGGCAGGTGTGCTGTGCCCCGCAGGTGTGCTGTGCCCCGCAGGTGTGCTGTGCCCCTCAGGTGTGCGGTGCCCCGCAGGTGTCCTCGCGCTCGCCTCGGCCCCGCCCTGCGCGCCCTGCGGGGGAGCAGCGCACCCGCCCGACGCGCAGGTGAGCGCGGTCCCTTCCGCGCCTTTCGCGGGGCAAGGAGAGCTCGGCGCGGCTCCACGTGCTGTGGCAGGTGCGAGAAAGAGGAGAGCGCAGACAAATGTTAACTGGGGGTGATGCTGGCCCCTCAGGGCAGGGCTGAGCGCAGGTGACGCCGCGGGCTGTGGAGTGCCCCGAGCCCCGGCGCGGTCCCTGAGGCGGGGGCAGTCCCCTAGGCTGTGAGGGGCGCTGGGCGAGAGCCGCTCCCTCATTAAGGGCCGTGAATAGCCGGCAGCGCCCTCCCAGCCGCCGTGACGGGTCCCGGAGCCGAGCCGAGCCGAGCCGGGGCGCTGCCCTGAGGGGAACCCGCGAGGAAGGCACGGCAGGTAAGGGGCGGCTCCGCCAGCAAGGGCCCCGTACTTGTACTGCCCCAGCGTGAGGGCACCCGGAGGGGTGGGTCAGAAGTGCCGATTAAGAAACATTACAAAGGTTTTACACGTTATTTGAGGTCCAAAGAGTAAGGAAAACACATTTTTGAAACCATTGCTTTGATGATGATGATGATGCTTTGATGAAGTTATTTTGAAGAAAACTCTACTTGAAGTACCTCCTAAGGGCACCCGTTCGTAAATCTTGGCCTCAGGTTAGTGTGCTGTCTAGAAAGGAATATCTTATCATCATTATGGGAAAAGTAGTCTCTAACTGTTGTTTCTCTGTGCAGGAAAGTAAACAAATTTATTAACTTTTAAAATTACATCTGGATGGTTCCTTAGCTGGTCTAGGAGTTCTAGAACAAATTCATTTTTATACATAAAACCTTAAGTTTGCAGTTTGTGAGTTACCCCATATATTGAAGTGCAGATATTGAAAATGTGCCCAGATGGATCTGGACAGGCTGGCTGGGTGGGCCAAGACCAACAGTATGAGGTTCAACAGGGCCAAGTGCCGAGTCCTGCTCTTGTGTCACAGCAACCCCTGCAGCCCTGCAGGCTCGGGGATGAGGGGCTGGCAGGCAGAAAGGGACGTGTGCGTGCTGATCAGCACCAGCTGGACATGAGCCAGCAATGGCATCCTGGCTAATATTGGAAATGATATAGCCAGCAGGACTAGGACAGTGACTCTCTCCCGGTACCAGTGAGGCCACACCTTTAGTGCTGTATCCAGTTCTGGGTCCCTCAAATCAGGAAGGACATTGAGGTGCTGGAGTCCAGAGAAGGGCAGTGGAACTGGTGAAGTGTCTAAAGGGTGAGTACTGTGAGAAGCAGCTGAGGGAGCTGAGGTTGTTTAGGCTGGAGAAAAGGCATGTCAGGGGTGATCTTATGACTCTTTACAACTCCCTGGAAGGAGATTGTAGCCAGATAGGCATTGGCCTCTTTTCCCAGGGAACTAGTGACAGAACAAGAGGGCACAGTCTTAAGATACACCAGGAGAGGTTCAGGTTGGACATTAGCAGGAATTTTTTCACAGAAAGGGTGATTAACATTGGAATGGGCTGCCCAGGGAGATTGTGGAGTCCCCATTCCTGCAGGTGTTTAAGAAAAGACTGAATGTGGCACTCAGTGCCATGACCTAACCGACAAGGTGGTGGTTGGTCACAGGCTGGACTTGGTGATCCCAGAGGTCTCTTCCAACCTAATTGATTCTGTGAAAAGAATGACTTGCATTGACAGTTACAACATCTAATTTAGATGTTAGCAAGTATAAGTATCTGCAAGTTAGCTTTGCATGCATTGTTAAAACGGTTAACTTGAAGCTGAAAATGGGAATCTGTTTCCAAAGGAAATAATTTGCTGCTACATGGCATGCTTACTAGAAAATCTTTCACTCCAGCATTTACTAAATCGTTTGTAATTTTTTCTATATGTGGTAAAATTCCCATGTATTAGTTGCTATTCTGCATCTGTGTTCTTTGTTCTCTGCCAGCTACCTCTGTGCAGCTCCCTACATTGTTGAACTCTCTTGTTAACAGAGAAGAGTCTTTGTTGGTCTGTAAACACCTGTAGTACTTTAGAACTCTTAAGGAACTGGGTTTAATTTTACCCTTTAGGTATATGGAATGAAAGATTCTACTTGTGGTGGATCAAGGCAGATGTGTTCCTGGTGATTGTTAGCATATCTTCATTTCTTCTTTTAAAACTAAAGGCAACATTTTTGCAGTAAGGAGAACTCATAATACTGAACTGAGTACTGCCCTCCTTTCACCACGGATGCTGTAGCTTATGCTATAAAATAAGGCAGTTAAGACTGCTGTATGTGGACTCAGATGTGCTCTGGATGAGTCAGCCTGGTCTTTGCAGCACAGCTCCGCTGGAGCCTGTCCCTGGCTGGAATGGTGCCTGGCACGGGTGCCCAGTGTCCCCAGTGGGCCGTGCTGGCTCAGGGGGCTGCACAGCATCGCTCGCGCTCGGTGTGGCCCCTGGCAGGAGTGAGCAGCAGCATTAAGGAGCGCAGGGAAGTGACCCCTACCAGCCTTTCCTTCTGTGCCCTCAAAAGCCACTGTTCACAGCCCCTGTCATGCAGTTTTGCTGAGCACCATTACACAGGGTGCCGCTCCAGTGAGGTTTGGCAGTACGGGCAGTCCACTCACTGCAAAGCACTAGCTCTGAAGGCTGAGGGTGATGGTCATGAAGTAGACTGGAGCCCAGAAAGGGGCAGCCCAGAAAGGGGCAGCTGATACCCCAGAAAGGGTATCAGAAGTAAAGGGATCTGGTGAGGATAAACATTGTCCTGGAGAAGGTTTCACATTAAAGCTTTTCCTTGTGCCCGCCTTTGTGGAAATTACTTTGTCAGGGCAGAACAGACTGTTTCATGTATGCTGTATATGATTTTTGAGTGCTACAGTGACCATCTGAGCATCTGTATCATTATACCCACTCAGTTGTTCCTGCCACAATTCCCCACAATCCACTTTCTTGGAAGCTTCTCAGAAGGACATAGAGGATCTTATTTTCTAAACAGACCCTTTCAATTTCAAGATTAAAAAAAAAAATAATTCAATACTTGTATTGAAAACTTCTATGTAGTGCACAGATTTCTTTGTCTTACTTGGTATCAGAAGCTCTCTGGTTGTCCTTGCACAAGAGGGATGGGATTAATTTACTTTATAAAGAGAAATACAGCTCTGATTGACACACAAGTGGACTCAGCAGTGGTACATCTGGCACAAGAATAGACAAATATGAGAACTCAATACGTGTCTGCAGGAGCGTGCACCTGTGCCCCGAGCAGCCCTGTGCGCAAGCACCTCTCTGCTCAGTGCTGAGTGGTCTGGGGCTCAAAACTGAAGTTGCTTCCTTGCAGTGCTGACATTGCTTGTGCTGCCAGAATCTTGTGAATCACATACAGCTGCAGGTTTCACTAGTTCTAGTGTTTGTT